ATGCACGGTACAAGTCGGAAGTTCCGACCAAGACCATGAAATTTAAATTTGTCGGCCGCGCAGACTCGAGTCTCGCGCGACGGTACCGTACCTCCGGGTAGTACGTAATTGCCCGTTTGATCGACGTGTCAGGAAAAGCTCGATTCATGAATTCGGACCCGATTCTCTAGTACGGCCGAGTACGATCGTTAGTACTGCGTACAAAATGTGTCGCGACGCGTGACACCGGTCATACAAATTTGAGACCCGACCGTCGCGCGGTCGATACCGTCGAGACCCACCATAGGTAGCTTGTGCGTATACAATTGGACGGTCGACGTGCACCCTCAGTGGCCCATTGCATCTGAGGAGACCGGATCGGTCGAATGATCCTGCATGCACATGTACGGTCATTGAATCATGATCGGACCATGTGCATAGTCACCCTTGAAGAAATCAAATAACAGCTCACTGTCACCCTCAATGATATGCCCGGCCTTGGCCGCAGTTGGCATGGATATTGCGGTTAAACCGATTTCAGCCTAGTACGGTGGGCTCATGCATCACGACGGTTCAGGGACCCATACGTGCCATTTGTGGCAACAGCGCATCAGTAGATGTTCAATGGTGACTGATGCCGGATGTGTTTGTATATACACTCCGACCGCTTAATCACTGTTAAACTGCAACCCATGCACTGCAGCCAGAAAATTGTGAACTGGCATGGTTTGAGAAGCATGCTTAAAGGCACTCGTGGGAGCCAGATCTTTCTCTACCATTGGAGCCGCATTGAAGCCGTGGTGCGAATGAATGCATCTGAACTTGTGCCAACTACTTTGCGGAGTGTTCAGATGCAGTAGCGCCGCCAAATCATGAGCAGGCGCCATCATTAAGTCAGTCGAACTAACTGTACAGTCAAAACATAAAAGTCTCCGGACACTGCTTACTATACCGGCCAATAACCGAGGGGGCTCTTGCAAACCCAATGCAAACATGAATACGTTTTCCGACGAACCAGCGCTGCCGCGTCCCTTACCTTGACCTCCCCCTACTGCTTTTAGAATCCCGGAAGAAGGGATGCTTCAGGGCCTCTTTTGCTGGCGTCCGCTCATGGGGCTCGTACGCAAGCAAGCCCTGAATCAGATCAACCAGCTCGCTAGCTGAGTGATCGACGCTCGCAGTAATGAGGTCCCGTAACCGTGCCACTCGACGGACCGCCCGTATGCTCTCTCGAGACACGGCACCGTCGGGCCAATTCAGCTCCCGCCCGTTCCGGAAGTACTTTTCCGACCGCCGGTCCGCGCGCTTGACCATCGACACCGGCATCGGCCCGAGGACGCGCTCCATCATCGCGAGGTGTTCCAGGTTCTCGTGCGTTTGGAAGAGCGCATCGCCCTGTCATGGGGAACAACAGGTCCGATCGAACAAAGCCCGAAAATCTGACGGACGAGTCTCTGTTCAGTATGAGCGAGTTCGATCATTATAAGTCGGCGCTAATTGCTGATGAAGAGTGCATGGATACTCGCTCGGCGAATCTCAACGACTTGGCGGCCGTTTGACGACCCGCTATTCATAAGGATTAGCACCTCAGCAAAAGCAACACCTTTTTCATACATGGAGCAGGTGCCTTGAAAATGGGCAAAAAGGTGGGCCTGCGAAAGCGACCCCGCAGGTTTTGTAACGGAAGAAAGTACAAAGGCGACCATTTGAGAGGCGGCCAGTGAAGTGAATCTAGTTTCCTTACCGTTACAAGCTCAACCAGTATGCAGCCCACACTCCACAGATCGCAAGGGAAACTCCAACCCAGACCTGCAGAAGCACAAGCTCGAAGTTTTAGAGTGCATCCGTTCTTGCAACGATCAATTTCCGCCCTCTGCGCTGGGTTCTGGGCCTCAACAGAGAGCTGCTTCTCTCAGTACTTGTCGTAGTCACCTGAGGCTTCATTACAACGATTTACTAAGCTGATGTTTGACTGCGCAGAAGGGGAAGAGTGACAACAGAACGGTTCCAAAGGCCAAAACACACATGATTGACAGTGTTACTTGAAAGTGCGCTTCAGTTGCTCGGTATGCGAGCTTCCTATACAAAGTAGAAAAGGCGCCCAAGCTTGGATGAATCCAGCAGAACACAACGAAAACGTGTACGTGTCCAAAACAACTCGCTAATCCACGCGGTCGAGTAGCAACCACTTCGTCTCACGTCATGGACAGACAAAAACTTCGCGGCTTTCACACAACCCAGAAGCCACCTCGGATAGCTCTTGGACGCACGTGCAATGTCGCATGGAGACGGCGCTGCTCCGACTGTCCTTCAGCGAACGCCTTCGCACTGGAAAATCAAGACCGGAGACAACCCCAGAAAGCGCCTCCCGTCAGCTTTTCTGCAAGCGGACAATCTGTCTCACCTAGGATGACCTCGGGAGCGCGGTAGTGGCGCGTGGAGACGACACTGCAGTGGTACTGGTTGTCGAAGGTGGCGCTGCCGAAGTCAATCAGCTTGATGTCGCTGGACGCGGGGACGCGCTTAAAGTACTTGCTGCCCTGCTCAGATGAGAACGCGTGGCACATATGACGTGAGCGTGGGCACACCAACTTTGACTCTGGTCGCCTTCTGTCTTACAGGACGCTTCGTTGAGATGCTCTGAAAGCTTGAATTCAGGGGTACGTGCTTTCTCGACGCATAATGAATGACCATTGCACAAGTTTTCAGCGGTGCACGAACAGACCCCAGAGGGTTTTCGCAAGGATTTCCTTTCGGTTCCAGGTGTCGGATGTGCCCTAAAGGGGAGCGCAGGTGATCGGCTTTCTTGACCTCTTCCTTGAACCTCGTATTCATCTGATGCAAGGTGTTTAAAGAAGACCGGCAGAAGAATCGAGAAGGAAAGTAAGGAAGACACAGGAAAGACAGTATTCCGCCCACCTTGGACTCCGGCACCTTGGAGTAGTCAGAGGAGACGAGCAGGATGTTCTCGGGCTTGAGGTCGGTGTGAATAAGCGTCAGCTCGTGCATATACGCCACCGACTCGAGCAACTGCCGCCCGAACGCGCGCACCATGTCCAGCGGGAACGCGCGGTACTGGTTGCGCTTCAAAAAGTCGAACAGGCTGGGGCCCAGCCGCTCAAACACCTGCCCCGGGGAGAAGCAGAAGCTGACGTCAGCATGACAGCAATGTACAGTATTGTGTTAGCAACCATGCTTCTTCCGGTGTTGGTCGTGATGTTTATATGGCCGGTCCTTGAGTGGCGGCAAGTGATTCTTGCTGTCTGATCACTTGTTGATGTCGATGAAAACAAAGGACTACAATCCCGAGAATAGGCTCTCGTAGGCTGTCCTACCCTTTCGGTTCAGTCTGATGGCCGAAGCATCCGGTGAACAACGAAGCTTAGACGGGGCTTGATTCGGTTAGCGACAGCGCCTTTGCATCGATTGCTGATGCAACCTCTCAAAGTACTGACAGTGGCCATCCCCACAAGTGTACGGTTGTGGGACCTACTCACCATGCATATGTGATGCCGGTAGTCAAACCAGCTCTTCAATGCAACGCATCGCCTGATACACGACGATGATAAGGGTCAGAAGGAAGGCTCCAAGCCTGAATTTGAGTGCGAGTAACATTTTGCACGGCTCAGTACAATGCACCTGTCAAGTCCTGGTTGCCCCTCCGTCTTTCTTCACTGAATCGTGCTAAGAGCGTTTGACGACCCACGGATCAATGCACATCGTCTTGCCAGAAGAGTTCATTACAATGAGACGGCCGTTCAGTGCTTCCGTTTCCTTTCACCACGCTCGCAATAATATGAGGAGGTATTGCAGAGCGAATTGACAAACAGGCTGGTATTGCGGATGAACATGATCAGAGGAAACCGTAAGGATGCAGGCTTTCTCACCTTAGCCCCCCCTTGTCATGCTTTTGCAAGGTCTGCAGCACATCGATCTCGATCATGGCTGCGTCCCGATACTTTTGCACGTTCCTGATGACCTTTATAGCCACGTACTGGGCCTCGTCCCGGTCCCAACACTCTAGCACCCGGCCAAACGTACCTGGAAATGACGGAGAAGCTCCGCCTTTTAAATCTCTTCTCAGAAGCAAGAGTCAATGTCAAAGTAGGACGGTGAGAACGTACACACATGAAGGTTGAGCTGGCAATGATGAAGCCTCAGGGCCGAAACTTGGCGGCGCTTGATCTCAATAACGACCACACCTCCGAAAGCGAGCGTTTGCTGTGTGTGCGCGGAGAGCTGCGAGACGGCTCACCTTCTCCCATCTTACTCAGGATTTTATCTGCAGCGTCGGAGAAAGGGCATCAGAGACTTGAACAGATGCTGCTTATGAGATCGGTGTACGTCCACAGGAATGAAATCGTCGGAATCAACTTGCTCCCATACTCTCACCCTACCAGCACATCAAAAACATCGCCCGCAGAAGTGAAGGTCGCGGACAGACTTGACGGCTGCAAGGGGGTTCCTGAGATCCCCCTTCTCAAAGCCTGAACACAAAGGTAAGCCCAGACTGATAGATCCAAGAGATGCTACTCACATCGGGGGGTAAGATTCTCCCCCAGTTCAAACGTGTAGTGACCGTCCTTGTCGTCCTCCCGCCAGGGGGGGCTTGCCCTGTTCCCCCCGTTCATTTGGGGGGCATTTCCTGGGGCATGGGGAAGGTATTGGAGCTCTTCTCGCCCCCCTCCTGAGTAGCTATGAGCCAACTGTGCCTGCAAATGAAGAACGTTCTTGGTGTTGGTCACATCAAGTCGCATCAAGCAAATGGTTTTATTAGGCGAAGCAAAATACACTTGTGGAGGTAGGCATCCCATGCTGTCTGCCTAGTGGATGTTGGCGTGCTTGCTATCTCCCATTGGGGGCGCCGACATATTGGGGTTGCCAAAATGTGAAGTCGTAATGTTTCCAGCAAAATGAAGGAGTTCATGGCACTGGATTGGCCTAAAGCTTTGGAAGAAGCCAGTCCATATCCAATCTTATGTGCATCCAAGGTGTTGGGAGGATTTAGGGTTTTCAAAAGGTCAGCCGCTATTGTTCTGCTCAGTGTTGGGAGGCTCAACCACTGGCTTCTGACATGAGGCATTGGCTCAGGGCGACAGCGGAAAGAGATTGATCTCAGTCCAATCTCGGACGGCTCAAGCGCAGACTTAACGCCGCCATCAGAACAGGCAAATCTAGTGCAGTTGCGACAAAAACCATGGGTTGGCACGACCTTGGCAGAATGGAATGCAATCGGCTGAGAATTCTGGGGCTTGATTAACCCGTAAGGTGCCTTAGAGCTTGCTGAAAAGAAAAAGTCCCAGTGCCCGACCTGAAAAACATTGTGATATTATGGAAATAGATGGAGCAACGACGACTTTCACTGAGCAGTGAACTTGCACATAGCAGGCCTCACAGTATCAACAATGGTTGCTCTGCTGATATTACCACACAGGAATGAGTGGTAAAACTGTCCTAGACCATCGTAACCCAAATGCAGCTCTCCATTTTGCAAGAAATCGTACAGAAGCATGCATCACAATGCCACAGATATTCAGGCAGATCAAGATCCTGATACGAAGGCAGACTCCTTCAGACGTCAACTCATTGCCTGAGCCACATGTTTCTTCTTATAAAAGCATTTCCAGCTCCCGCGATACTTGTCACATCTTGCTGGTAAAAACTCTCCCCGAAAGAGCAATCAGACTGCTCGCATTCCCGGAGCCAGGACATTCAGATTACGAGATATTGAATTTGAGAAGAGTCACCATCCTCTGCTGACTGGCCCCATCAACTTCCCTGCAACTTACCACTTCTCCGCTCTCCCGCACTTCATCCAACCTTGCCCGTTTTTCTGGCCGACCATCTCTGTAGTCCCTCTCCATCGTTTCTGTCTCCCTATGAGCTTCTTTTTGAATTCAACGATATGCAACAATGATCGCAATGACTTCAACGATAGTCACAAAAAGCCAATGTGCGTAAGGAATCCATTTCTGCCTCTCCTCTTCATCTCAATCCAAGCATCCGGTGCCGAGCTCTATCCAACATCCAAAAGGTGACTAATTGCGTCTTCACTGGAGATCCTCAAGCAATCATACTCCGTTCTGAGGCAGCCCGGAGGAAAATAGAAGCACATGTACAATCACTTCTATTTTTAATCTCTTCATGTGTTACACTCAAAAGGTACAGAGCGACTGCATGAATTCCGCAACACAGGGAGCAGAACTTCCACAATTACCCAAGTCAGACAGACCCTCTCCGGCCAACAATTGCTACAGAAGGCGTGCACACTTTCTAGCAAGCAACCACTTCAAGTTCAAATTCTGCTGCAGGACGCCTTGCTTGCAAGCTGGATTCAAGTTTCAAAAGCAGTCTGTGCGAGGAGCCGTTCCGGGAATGGCGGATGCTCTCCCAACCGACGCTCGGGACCCATCCAAAACCAGCTCTGGGCATCTGACGGCAGGAAGGGTTTCTGATATTTGAGAGCTGCTGAGCGACAACGTCAGTATCCTACTTTTTAAAACACAAGGATCGTGGAAGAACAGTCGCCTTCGAAATCGTGAATATCTTTGACCTGCTCGTTGCCGTCCGATCCTCGTAATCTACGATTCGCGTCCAACATTGCCAGCTCATGCATGCCCACTTTGCAATCTGCATCCCCCCAGCACCATCATGCAGTCTCAGACTCCAGCTAGAGCGCTGCAGAAGTCTGAACTTTTTAGGCAGGAGCCCTTTCTTGAAAGGTGTTGAGGGAGAAGGATACTGGATTGATAGTTGTTGAATCCTCCGGCCTTACTTTTGCTGCTGGATAGTCCCTGCATTACACAATGCCGTCTTCAGTCGAGTGCCTGGCGGAGCTGAGATGCTGGCCATCGGCGAACGTTGCCGTCCACCCGTCCTGCAGCGCTGTCGAGAGCTTGCAGAGTCCTAGTGTCAAACTCCGGGCTTTCTCCGTGAGAACACACGATACCCAGAGGCCGCGCTGCAAGCAGTGTCCGAGCCGGTTGAAGCTGCTGGAGTCGAATTGCAGGCGGATGGGGGCATTCCAAGGGTTTCTTCCTGTGAATCATGTTGCAAACATCACAAAGCCAGCATCTACGAGCAGAAAAGTTGCGCATAGAGGCTACGGTTGCAGTAGTGGCGCTAAGAAGGGCCAAGTGACATGTGGCTTGATGCCAATTGACCCATGGAACCCAAGCATGCAAGTGGACTCCCAGAGCATCGCGTCGCAGCTCTTTGCAGCCTCGCTCCTCCCTTATCTGGGGTTTCTGTACCACCTGACGCGCTCCAAAACGGCACCAAAGCTGACCTTGTTTGGCTTCTACTTCCTCCTAGTCTTTGTTGGCGCCACAAGTGAGTGATCGCCACCACTGTGCTTCAGCTTGCTTGGACTTTGCAGAATCTTATGAGTCTCCTGAAAGTCAAGCTTAGCCAAGACCTAGTGACCATATATCCATGTGCAGATGTTGCTGACGCCCCTCGCTGCACGGTTGTAAACATCGGCGCCAAACCTCCGCTCGTAGAAAGCATTCGTTGATGATTACATTGGGCAATGTTTCTCTGACTCACTTACATCATCTGAACCTCTTTCTGAGCTGCCTGCACAAGTCACCAGGATGTCACCTCCTTCCACACTTCTTACAATGTGTGTCTGATGGCCTTCGCACGTTTTCTGCAGTTCCGGCGGGCATTTACGGTAAGTGATGAGTGATGAGACAAGATCCTTTTTTCAAACTGATTCATGTTTGATGATAGGATCTTGCAGACCTTCTTCATGAAAGTCGGACTCAACGGAAACACAAAGAAATTTTGCACTGTCTTCCAAGCAGGAGTCGGTTGGGACTCAGGCAGTCTTCTTAGACTTGCTGAAGTCAGATTGCTTGCCAAGAGACCGACATCCTGAAGTGTCTGTGAGTCCAACAGTCATGATTTTAATGCTCGGTCTGTGAAAGTCCGCGAGCTCAGAATGCCAGCTTTTGACTTCACTCATTGCTGAACCCCGCTACTGTGTTACTTTGCAGCAAAGCTGCACTATGGAACCTCCTTGTCGAATGTTGATTGGCTACATGGGGGGGCCGAGTCCTTTCTCACCTTAACCAACCTGTTCATAGTCATTGGCCTTCGGCAAGCCCTTCGGAAAGACGAGCAGCCGACCGAGCCAAGCGTGTTGCCTGACCTAGATCCTGAAGGGGAGCGCCATCCTGAGGTCGAAGCACCAATTGATGTTCGGCGATAAGTGTTGGGATGCCTTGGTGACATAGATCAATCATTGCGCACGCTGGCTTGATCGGACAAGCTCTATAATCGCACAATGAGCTTGGAAAATTTTACGCCATGGCATTTTGCGGATAACCCGCCATTGAAGCATCATTTTACGCCATGACTTTTGCGGATAACCCGCCATTGAATTATTGCAGCTTAAGCTGTCCGACAGTAATACCATAGGAATGTATTGAAGCAACTACACAATCAGCTAATGTACATACGTAGAACCTACTCCACGTGACCAAGTGAACACGCTCGCAAAGCACTCCAGATACTCTGCACATCGTCTTCTACGGATAGACTGCACTCTAGTCGATCAGGTAGCCGCCGCAACTGCAAAGCTGCGCGGGTTGATGGTGATGCTTTTGGTGCAGTTGTCCGTCTTGTAGATGCCCACCAGTCTGTCCGCCAGCTCGAACATGTTGTTTCGGAGGCTGCAAAAAATTGCAGGGTCAGCTTGGCTTCACCTGCAAATGCTCGCTACATTTGACAAATGTGATAGTGCCCCGTCTTCCGCTCAATCCAGGAAGTCGTCATGCAACCTTTCCATTCGCTTCGCATATTGAGACGGGCTCAGCACAGCCAGACTTCGTATTCAGTGGATTCAAGTCGAAGCACTTGATCGAGTCCAGGCAGAACACATTGCAGTGCAGCACGCACGTTCCCAAAGGACAAGAGAAGTAACGCGCTGACATGAGTGCAGGAGGAACCTTCAGAGCACGGATGGCTTCAGAAAAGAAGCATTGAACTCGGCAAACAAACAGGTTTTGACGGAAAGACATGAAAGAAGAGCCGACTGTACCGGTCGACAGTCTCCCTCAGGGTCGAAACATCATTTTGATATGGAAGCTAGTCCCACCGCAGAGACGAGCCTTGTTAAGAAGCATTTCCTGGAAGTCTGAATCCAAGCATACCACGGAGGCGCTCGAGGTCGTATCATACCTGATGATGATGAACTGGGCATCCTTGGTCCTGTCTTTGATGTAGTGGGCGACGATGGATACGTTTTTGAAGTCTGCATGGAACAAAGTGCGTTGATGAGTTGACCTGTGCTTCAACAGGGGAAGTCTGTCAGCAAAGGACGAAAATTGGTATTCGAGAACTTGTCCAGGATGACAAAAGATGACTTGGCGAAAAGCACCTCAAGGATCCCACTTCCTTTCTAAGAGCGGACTTGGTGCAGAGTGTTTGAATACTGGCCGGAGGAGAATCCTCTGTCACGGATACAAGCGCATCAGCCCTCTTCACTCCGGGCCTCCTCTCGGAAGATTCGTAACGAACACAGCCCAGGTTATCTGCCTCCGCTCTCAGAAAGTGCTCCGCAAGGATACTCACACTCGAAAAGCAGAGTTATGAATCTCAAGTCAAAACGGGACAGACATGCCACGTCGACTCACCAAGAGCGGCGTCGATCTCGTCCATGACGTACAGAGGCGTGGGCTTGTAGTGATGCAGGGCGAACACCAAGGCGAGGCTGCTTAGGGTCTGCGGAGAAGCACGAACGTCACGTCAGCCACCTGAGCTGGTCTGACGTCATGCGGGTCACTTCACCTTAGGCTTTCGCTTCCTGGTGACCTCCGAAGGGGGAGCGGATAGGCACGCGGATTCACATTGCCCCACATTTTCTGTGGGGGCAGTGAAGATTCTCGCAGACTGTCTCGGATCCCGTCTTCGGAAACAGCATAACTGGATCTGCATTCTCAAACACAGGTCCGTCGATACGAGGCTGAAAGCTACAAGCGTCAATTCCCATTTTGCGATGCTTGCACTACGAATTGCAAACACGACAGTCGACTTTTTCCCTTAAGTCATCCTTGTCCCAGGGGTTCGCTTGCACGCACCTTCTCCCCCCCGGACAGATTGGAGATGTTCTTCCAGCTCTTCTTGGGGGGCCGCACGCTGAACACGATACCCTCCGAGAAGGGGTCCAGCGAGTCCACCAACTCCAACTCTGCATCGCCCCCTAGCGTAATCATCTGAAACGTCGGGGGAGAGACTGGCTTTCAGCCTCGCTCAATTTGTATTGGTTTCCGTGAAACTGAGTTCGAGCCTCATTCATCTTGTACTGTTTTCCCCTGAAGCGAAGTTCCGAAAGTGGCGTCTTCAGCTTAACCACGTGGCGTATGAGAAGACCCGGGGAATTGATTTCTCAGATAACGAGATTTGAAAGTGTGGCCGTTCGCTTGTACCTGCACTGTGACTTGAAAAGCCTTTTAAAGCAGCAACCTTCTCAGAAAAGCAGCAGTTTTCCAAAAGAGGCTGATACTGATGTGCAGTTCCCAGTCAATATACAAGATAGGACCAGGGCACCCAATCGAAGGCTGCCACGTGTCGTCACCTGGTACATCTCCTTGAGCTTCATGGTGATGACGTTGAAGCCCGCCATGAACTCGTCCAGCCGCGTCTTGCGCAGCTCCGTGTGCTCCTTGCGCGCCTCGTCGCGCGCTGACGTCACCGCATCCAGGTCGCGCACGCGCGCCGTGTAGTCGGCCTCCTTCTTGCGGTACCTGTGACAGGAAAGTATGTACTCGATTAGACCACTCAGGGCCTTTGCACATAGAGCGGGTGTTGTTGGTTTCGAGCGACGGTACAGCGGGGGTCGCGGCGGTCCCGTTGCCAGGAAAACACCGTGGGTGTTGTTTCCAATTCGCCGACTCGTACGGTCATACGTCAGCAAAAAGACCGCGGTGTTCCAAATCGTCACCACGCTTTGGAGCGTGGTGACGGTGGTGAAGTTTTGCGATGACACTCTGACCGTCGCACGGGACCACGTTTGCGTGCCGAAGGTACCCCCCGAAGTCGCGTTGGCAATTCGGGCAAAGCAACACCTTCGGTTCTCGGCGAATTGTCCAAAACAACACCCGCTCTGTGTGCAAAGGCCCTCGAAGGAAGAAGAATAGTACGTTCGGCTGATGCTGCCCCTAATGCTGCCCCTCATCATTCGTTTTCTTTCCCCCAGCAAGGTCAGAATACATGAGTGAGTTCCCAGTTCCGAGCTGCGACAAAAAAAGGACACACTGTGAGCCGACCAGTCGTTGCTGCTTTGACTCCTCTGGGCGATTCATGGTAGAGCTCTGCCACGCACTGCAGAAACCCCTTACGCCCGCCAAATCCTCAGAAGAACCGAAAGTCACACGGCCTCAAAGGCCGAGCCTCACTCTGCAATGGACGCCATGTTCGGCTTCATCCCGTTGAGTTCCGCCTCTAGTTTCTGGATGCGCTCGCGCACGTCTTCTTGCGTCTCGGGGGCGGCGTCCTCCGCAGGCGGGGGGGCCAGCAACGCCGCGGCCTCTTCTTCCGACAGATCGAGCCTGTGGAAAAGGAGCGAGGGGCGTCATAAGAACAGGCGGGGAAGAAACCGACTCGACCATCAGTGGAAAGAAGTGCAGTGGAAATATTCAAGCAGAAAGGCGGGAAAAGGTAACGGACTCAACAACCAGAGGAATATTTCGGAGCGGAAGAGCGGACAGAGGGGCGGAGCCGACAGGAACAGGATTCGACAAAAAAGTGCAGAAGAGTAGTAACTTAAAGAGACGGCTCAGAAAGCCCAAAAGTCGCGAGGAAACCCTCCGTCAAGTGCGTATTGCGCTCATCAGGCCTTTTGAGACAGGCTGACAGGCAGCATTGTTGAGTGTCTAGGAAGCGAAGAGCCTGGCTGGTAGGAATTCAAAAATCCATTTTGAAATATCCTAGGAAAACATTCTCTCTCAGTAGAAGTTCAATAATCGGACAACTTTTGAAACACACGTACACGAGCTTAAAACGTGCTCGCACTTCTGATCAGGTTGGGCTTCCGGCGCACGATCACCATCGCTTCTTCGAGCACCTTTTCCTCCTACACAGAGAGATTCCTGATACTTCGAAAACTTTTGAAAGCCCCATACTTACAGTTGCGCATCATGGGATTTGAAGTGCCTCGCGTCCTTAAGCTCCTTCTCGAGCGCTCTACCTTCTTACAGAGACTTTCCAGAAATCAACGTTCCCGCGGCCGAATTTTGAACGCGAAATTCGCGAGCAGAGCATCCTCACGTCGTCCGATGCTGCTCCTGCTTCTTGCGCACGCCAGCGAGCGCCTTCTCGAGCGCCTTGGCCTTCGCGGCCGCGCCCTGCACGAGCACGGCCGCGTCCTCGAGTTGCGTCAGCAGGTCCACCTCCCCCAGCCGGAAGCTCTCCACCACCGCCTTGCACCGCGCGTACTCGCGCTGCAACGACTCCATCTCGCCGCGCTTCGACTCCAACACCTGTGGTCAATGACGTCAGCGGGTTACGTTGGAGAAGCTCCGAAATAGGACAAGAAAGCGAGAGGGTCCGCACGTCTTGACTGTATGGACCCTCGGTTGATTCGACGCGACTTGCTCCAACTGGCGCAACCTCTTGACGACAAGCCGCGTCTACAAGGACTATTTGGCGTCCACCAGTTATACCATCCCACAGCCCAAGGTGAACACCGCAGCTTTCTTCCGGAACCGAGATTCTGTGCTCGTCCTCGTCATTTCATACGCACGTGCATGACGTCAGCAACCGTGTCCCCTTCCTCACCTCCTGCGTCTTCTCGTAGCTGTCCTTGACCTTGAGCGCCTCCTGCTCCAGCCCGCGCAGCTCTGACGTCACCACCTCCATCTGTGACGTCAGCTTGACCCGCTCCTTCTCCGCGTCCTCTGCCGCCTTCGCCAGCCGCTCGCCCGCCTTGGCGTGCGTCTTGATCAGCACTTTGAGGCGGTTGATCTCGGTCGAAGTGCCGTCGATATTCTGCGGATAAAAGAGTGAGGTTCTTTGTTTTTGAACCCGGGGATTAACAATATTCGTGCGTCTTACCAGCACTTCGAGGTGAGTTATGTCGGTAGAAGTCGCGTCGGTCGTCTAAGTTTTGCAGACGGGGTTTTTTAAGCACTCCTTGAGTACGTATGAGTCGACGTACGTGACTGACTTCTGTGCTCTCAGACAGCAATGTCAGCCAGATGAGTCATTCTCGTTCGTCTCTCAATTGCTCATCTCGTCAGAAAAAGGCTGTTGATCGTTTCTGCACGCTTGTGAAGTCCCTGCGTACGACAAACAAACTTATTTGATCGGCTTTTTCAGACTTAACATCCCTTAACGTGCCGCAAATGGACCGCAGAGGACACGAAAACATAATAGTGTACGATCAACCCCTCTGGCATCTTTTCTTCTGTTGGAACGCTTCCATGTTGTACTGTCCACACTCACTTCTGTTGGTGAGATTTCAAGCAACTTGTTCAACGAATAGTAGACTAAAAAGCAACAGTAAGCAACGTGGACAGGGTGGATTCAGAGCAGACAGGAAGCTTCGGTGCCCTAATCGGAGCAAGGCCGTGCCAAACCGGTACGAAAGAGAACCCAGGAAGCGAAAGCCACCATCAGTATGACGTTATCCGCAGTGCTTCGACAGCTCTCTCTCTGCACAATTCAGTAATCTCTTCACAATTCAACACGACGATAGAAAGCCGTCACTCACCGCCTGCAATTTCTCGACCTTCTCCTTCTGTCGCTTGAGCTCGTCCCCACCGGCGTTGTCCATCTGAGACTGGATCTCCTCCGCCTGCAGAGAAAAAGCAGAATCTGTTCAATCTAAACATCCCTGCATTTCTTGGTCGCGAACTACAAGTCGCACTTGCATAGTGACCCCAGGGGACCGCACGTCTTGCTCGGCGACTCTCTTGGAAACCGCCGCAAAAAGATTTGAAATTTAAGCGGCAGTACCCCTTCTCGGCAATGCGCTGCTGCTTTGACCCGCATCATCAACAAAACCCAAGCGTTCCTTCTGACGTACAATACATCATTCTCAAACATATCTCTTCATCCGCTTCGATCCCTATCCTCAAGCAATCCGTGTGCTTCATCTAGAAGCAACACACAGCATTCGGAAATAAGAACAGAGCGCCCACCTTCTTTCGCAGATGGGCGGAGGCCTTCTCAACCTTTGCGAGCGCCTTCTCTTCCGCTGTGACCGCCTGCCCCAGCTGCGTCACCCGCTCTAGTTCTTCTTCGCTTGGGTGCGCAGCCGCCTCGAGGCCCGCCAGTCGCCGCGACAGGTCCGAAAGCTGCGTCCGGAGAGCGTCCAACTGCAACGTCCGAGGAGCGAGAAGGATCTTGCCAGAACGTTTTGGTGAGGTCTGAAAAGCTTGACTAAAAGGTGCGTCATCGTAAAGTCGGGCGCTACGTGTGCACAGCTGTGGGTTCAATCGGAGGTACGATGTGTCCGGTTTGAGGAGCGATGTGTCTGAAAAGGTTTGGGCACCAGAAAACGAACGAATCCCTCGATGTGCAGTGGACAAGGCTCATTTTACTGATGGGTGCGCGTCGACCGAAAAGCTGCAAAAAGCTTTCCAAATTTCTTCGCCAATCAGATGGCTTGGCAGATCCACATGGTAACCCAAGGTACATACCGAAGCAGCATCACAGCTTGAAAAGTACCGTACCTCTTACCTGTCGGTACTGCAAAGGAGGCCAAGTCGGTTTCCGGTCGACGCGCAACTTTAACTCTGAGCCACGTCCTTTGCGAAACAAGAGTATTCGGTCCATTCTGTCACTGCCTCGAACTCACACCAGCACCAGCTCGTATCCGACAGTTGTCCCGACTCACAAGCTCTCCGAACGAAACCTAGAAAGGACAAATCTTACGTCAAGCTTCGCCCCAAGGCAGCCCAATCCGGTTTCTCCGTGCGTTCAGAAGATCCTCTATCCCTCCAAAAGTCCGTCTACAAAACCACCTTTAATAACCGAAACAGGCTCAATCCCTTAAAACCCCTCACCTCGAGCTTCGCCTTGGGCAGCCGCATCTCCAGCTCCGCCAGCTCCCGTTCCGCCCGTTCCGCCGCCGTTCCGGCCGCCTGCCCCCGCGCCCGGAATTCCTCCAGCTGCGCCGTCTTGTCCGCCAGTTGGCGCTCCAACGTCTCGAGCTCGCGGTCCGAAACCCCCAAACCCTTGTCCAGCCGCGAGCCCATTTTGCCGCTCTGGGGTTTGCCGCCGCCGGACATAGTCCCGCTGCTCTCAATCACCTGGGGGTTATGGTTAGGTATGGTAAGGTTTAGGTATGATTTTGAGAATTAGAGCCATGTGTTTAGTTGATAGAATGTAGGTACGGCGGAGGGTTGTGGATGTAGGTGTTGGGAGCGCAGCAAGACATAGTCCCGCTGCTCTCGATTACCCGAGAAGTTTGGCCTTGGGGATTAGGTTCAGGTTTTATACTTGGGTGTAGGTTTTTAAAAACATGTTGCGGATGAGGTGGGGTTGCGAATGTCCTCACTGCACCAAGCAGCCGCCTTCCATAGACTCCGCTGCTTCCGATGATTTGACCAACATAGGAGACGCTTTCCTACATAAGAAGGTGAAGTTGGAAAGCCGACGTGCGTGATGAAGCAAACAAGTCCTGGACATCGTGTCCGCTGCATCCGCTGTCCGCTGCTGTAAGTGCGGATGGGTATCTCCATTTTAATCAGGCTTGACGGGCTCGGGGCGAAAGCTTGCAGGGTTTTGAAAGTTCACGAGTGCGAGAGTGTCGGCCGCCAGTAGCATCCGGCTGCCTTCGACACCTTTCAAGAAGGAGCGGCTTTACCGACGCTTTGAGGAACTTGGAGCTTGAGTACTGCTCTCAAAGAGGAACGCGCTGATTGTCCCTAACCCATGAGCAATTGAACATCTGGCAATCACAGACGAAAGACGTCTGCGAAAAGTAGACAGTGATTCTCAATCAGGTGGGCTTTTCTGGGTCCTGAGACACACCAGGCCTGATCTCGCGGACATGACCATCTCGCGGACATGACCAGCCAAGAGAGTCCCACACAAAGAAACCGCGTTTAAAGCGCTTTCGGTTCCAATGCACCCACCTGCCCCTGCAGCGTGACCACCCGTCGGAAGCGCTTGTCGGGCCCATACGCTATCCGCTGCGCTTGGTCCAAATTGTCCGCGACCAGCGTATTGCGCAGGGCGTACCAGAAGGCGGGCTTCACCCGCTCGGCCGCAAAGGTGATGAGGTCGAAGAGGCGGGGGGCGTGCTCGGGGGTTTGCACCGGGTCGTTCATGGCGGCCTGGAAGTGCTGCTGCTTGTCCTGAAAGGGGTCGGGAAATTGAGGTGAGAAGCCGGGGGTTGAAAAGGGAAAGGGGAGGACTGAGGTTGGGGGTAACTTGAAGCGGATTGGTAGGGAATATAATCCAAGGGTTGGGTCGTTATTCGGGAAGTCGATGTATGCAAGAGGGGTTGGAGTGGGCGGCGAGGCATGGAGACTGTGCGGATCTCTTGGCAGCGCAGAACAGCTACGTGCTTGCCTTGCTTCCGCTGCCAGGACCCTTGAAAGTAGCACCTACAACCGAGACAATCTCGAAAGATGAGAGCTCCACTGAGGAGAAAGGGCAAAGCCTCTGTAAGTCAAAAAGCGATGAGAAAGGCCACTCTATCTGACAAATATCTTACCAGATTGATTGAAAAAAGCAGTGCGAGATGACTAACCAGCGCTATGAAGGTAGCGATGCCCAACTGCTGTTCCTTAAGGATCTTGATGCACGCCTGCGCGGTAGCCGCATTGTCGACCAGAAACGCGTCCAGCTGGGAGCACCCGGTAGAGATGGCCACGTCATACTTGGCTGCGAAGAAAGCAGCACTTCAATATTTCGGCAATCCTTAAGACCCCATCTTGAGTTTGGAGTTTGCGGCTTTCCGGCGTTGCTTCAGACGCGTAGTTGTTGAGTTGGGAACCGCTGACAGAGAGGCTACTTGTTTTCGTCGGATCGAGGGCCTCGGTCAAGCTTCTGGAACGGCCGTTCACTAGCTCAGCTGAAGGCCTTCAAGCAACTATCTCTTTTTATTGCCCTAACTGTAAGGCCCTTGACAAAACGGGTTTCCTGCTCTTGGACCTATCTCTGGTTGTAATGGAAGCTTCATCGAAGCAACATCCTCATTTACGAAGCAGGCAGCATACACATCGTTCCGCCACGCATACTTTCGCCTCTTCAAACATTCGCCAAATTCATACTCGCTCGTGTCGGGCCACTTACGAAGTTCATTTTCTGATATCAGAAACCCAACCCAAATTTTCTCACAATGTTGAACCCACCGTTGATTGCGCCTAGCTCCCCCAACCGGCCGAGGAACCCGGGCAGGCGCCCCTCTCTTTTGGCCGCGGTAAACGCCTGGGAGATTCTGCCCCGGCTCTGCTCCGAGTCGCGAGCGGAGCGCAGCTCGCCGACCCGTCCGCGCAGCATCTGGACCTCGGACGAGACCGCGGCTTCGGACGCTTGGCAAGCCTGGCAAAAAGAACCGGATGCGTCCATAAGGGCCAGTATAGTGCAGATCTTGAGTTATTATAAATTGTAATGATAGGTCGCAAGATCAACTAAAGCTGAAGCGAAACCTTTGATCACGGTGATCAGTCCTGTCAATCGACACACGGTAGTGGTGGACAGTGCGATCGAACAAGGAGCTAGAGGGTCAATCCGCCAAAACACCACCTGCGATACGAAACCGAGCTTCCCAACTAAGCAATGTCCCATAGAATCGTGACTTTCACTAGAAAGCAGAGTCCTGCTTGACGAAAATGCTGATTGCATCAAAGCGCTCGTCATATTATTCTGCAACGAAGTACAAGCAACCATACCTTCTCCTCGTCACGAGCCGCCGTTGCATCGGCCTTTTTCTGCTGCAGGCTGCCCGAGATGGTCCGGATCTCCTTCTCGGTGTCCGCAATGCGCGCCTCCGTTTCCGTCCGAGAGGCAGACGCGTCTGCAAAGGCCTTTTCGGCAGAGGCGTGCTGCAGGGAGAAAACCGGCATCATCGGTGCCAGATCGACTCGACTAGCCTGTAAGCGTGCAACACGTGGCGCAATCGTGCAAGTACTAGGTTAAGCAGACTTCATGATTAGGATAAGCATGCCTTAACTAACGAAGAAGCTAGAACAGGATGACAAACGGACGCATTCCATTGGACGTCCATCAACCAGTTGCATTCGCTGAATCCCTATATTGCCGGATTCAATCCCGGGACGTTTCCACAACGTTCTAAGGGTACATACCCGGCTATCTCGGTCAACATATCTGCGACCTCAAGGGTACAAAGATTTCTGCAGGCTTGCAGAGCAGGAGGATCTGCGACTGGGTAACATGGATGACCCGAACGATAGTCTCCCGGTCCAAAACCGTGTTGACAACGGATATTTAACGGCAAGCCATTGTGATAGGGCATGTTATGCGACATACCTACCCAAGTGCAACACTCCAGCATTGCCTGGGCGTCAAAACGTTTGAACACACATAGGCTCCTCTTACAGTACAGGAGCGCCTTCTGCCACTCCTATACGTATGAGTGACGCTGAATGCGCGCAAACTGGTTCGAGCGACAGGCAGTCTCCTGAGGCATCCCGGTTCCGGAAGGAAATCGCAGTGGGCTATCAAGAAATTTTTCAAACTTATTTAAAAATCATATAAGAATTGGCTCACTTTCTCGACGAGCAGGTTCCGCTCGGCCGTCGCGACGTCCATCCTGGCCTTGGTTTCACTCATGTCCTTCTCGAACGGCTCCAGCTCCCCATGCACCGCCTGCAGCTTTTCACGGTACTGCTCCATCTCGGCTGCAGCGGACGAACGGACAGCAGAATTTGTAGATGGTATCCATTATCGTCCTCGATTAAGCGACCGTGTTGGAGAGGGAAAGACTGGCACACTGGTAAAAGACGGAAGACGTTTTGACGGTCGGTCTGATACAGCGTCGTAATTTCAATGGCTTCGGAAGAGCCTGGATGTGGAGGAACAGGTCTCTCAACATGTAGAAGCAGTTGTTTCAACTGTCCCTACAGGAGAAACGCGAAATCTGACCATTCAACTCTTGTCCTTTCTGTTCCTGCGCTGAGTTGCGCATCAATTGGTTACAATGTATTTGAATATGCTCGCATCATAGGTCTGAGATGCGCCCAGAAAAGGAAGCTCTCCACATGACCTACCTTTGGCTTTCTCCTTGTACTCGTCGAGCAGCTTCTCCTGCGCCGGCAGGTCCGCTACCAGTTGCGCGTGCTCCCCCTCGAGCCGCGGGATGCTTTCCACAGCGTCCGCAGACTCCTTCTCCAGCTCTGCCCGCTTTTGGACGTCCTGAAAGCCAGCAATGAACATATTTCAGCCGGATGCCTCTCTAATAAGGTCGCCGAGACTTCGTGGATGACCTTTTAGAGAGCCAGAACCGTTGTTTCAGACTAGGGACGAAAGACTTCAGACGTTCTTGTATGAAGCACAAGCTTCTCGGTTCGAGGGCACTTCTAAAAAGTGGTCTGATTGCTGACCTTCGCGCGGGCAAGAGCTTACTGTCGGCTGGCGCAGAATGGTCAGCACCTACGGGCGAGCAACCCATCGCCATCGGGGCAAGTGCTTCTACGTAAGATATGTGGGCGCGGAGCGCACCTTTTTGGCTTTCTGGTCGAGCTTCTTCAGCTTCTCCTTGAGGTGCTTCAGATCCTCGCGGAGTTTGACGTCCTTGCGCTCGAACTCGGCGAACTGCTCCTTGGCGCTGTCCAGCTCCTTCTCGATTTTCTGCACGAGGACAGAGAAGAAACTACACGTCAGCAGACGAAAACGATAGCAATAGACGCGCTGCGGATGTTGAAAAGAGCAGGATTGGAGCTCACGGGGTGGTTGATAATTCTTTCACATACAAACGCATACACCAAAGGCATCGCTCACGAACTAGGATGGGGGACCGAGAGGTAGGACGAGGTCAACGAACGGGAAGGATGACGTTGCAGAGGGCTGGGAAGCAAGACTATGGTGGGACCCCCCGCCTTTTGAGGGGCGGCTCGAAGGAACAGCAGTCTGAAGTCTAATACCAATTGCCGGTCTGAATATGTTACTCCATACGTGATACCACCGGAAACTTGGCAGCTTATGTCGACGCCAGATTTAGCACCGTTTGGCAGTTTCGGAACTCGAAATACAGGACGATAGACGATTCAATATTCGTTGGTGACCTTTCACCGCAATTGGTAAGGGGGCCACGTTTGACGAACAGCGTGACGTTGTTTCTGGTCCAAGAACGAAAGTTTCAAAGGTCGGAACCACCATAAGGGAACGGATGCTGACCTCGAAGGCCTTCCGGTGGACGGTAAACTCCTTCTCCAGTACCTTGGCCTGCGCTTCGTCGTCGGCCCGCTTGGCGCTGTAGCGAAAGAAGTCGAAAATGCATCACTTTGGAGCTTGCCGTAGGGAAGGACGAGCGCAGATGCTGAACAATTACGTGCTAGTCCTTTGAATAGTGCGTATGCCGCAGATTCAACTCCCAATTCCCACTCGCAGACGTGTCGATCGTTGGGGGCCCTCTGCTCCTATCGCCTCATAAGAATGTAACGCTTGGGAAAACGCTGAGAGGAGCAGTGAACTCTCGAACTCGGTACACGACACGACGTCTTTTGCAGCGCTACCTGCCGGCTTCGGCACTAATTGCTCCAAGAATCAGGTTAGGGATGGGTACTCTGAACGAGGTCCTTTCTCAGCTTACAAAATTGCATAGATCAGCATGGCGTTCAATTCATTTTACCATGTTTCTCGACAGCATAACCACAAGAATCACGCTCACCGTTCCTCCTCGAGCTTCTTCTCAAGTGCGGCCTGGTTGGCCTTATTGGTCACGAGCGCGCGCTCGTTCTCCTCCAGGCACAGCTGCAGGTCGATTACCTTAGCCTGGAGCAGCTCCGACTCCTTCCGGATGAACAGCTCCGCCTCAGTCTTGGCGCCCTGCAAGAAGAAAAACGTTAGTATCAGAACGTGTCCCACCGACAAAGGAATCAGTACTAGCACCCAACAGGACGACTTTGAAGCCACGAGTTCTTGTATGGCAGCCCAAAATCTGCACAAGCTAGTCAACTTCGACGAGACCGCGAATTTGTAACGGCAAATGAGGAGGGGTGCTCTTGATAATGTCGAATAGAGACAACAACCGCGAGGTGAGCCTGTCCAAAGCCTGACGCTTTCCATGATCTGCTTCCTGTCTGCTTCGAGGTTCGCTCAAAGCTGGTACCAGTCTCCTTGCAAAGGAGCCTGCTGATTTTCCTCATGGGGTGACTTCCAGAGCTCAGACTTACCTCGAGGCTGGACATCTGCTTCTCCGCAATCTTGACATGCTGGAGCTTCCCTGTGCGCTCCTCGCTCAGTTGCTCGACCCTGCAGAGACAGATGCCTTAGAGCTTCGATCGACCAGCTCGTGATCCGAACAGAGACGACGAAACGAACTCTCACAACCACACCTGACGGCAAGCTCGTTTTGAAGCGACGTGGAACTTCTATATTCGAGACAAACAGGCACGGGATTTTTCAAGGAATATGATATCAAATTTGAGTAGGACCACCGGTGAGGTACAAGAATGCACCAACACGCCAGCACAGCTCAACCGGCTGTCTAATCTCAAAGCGGTCAATCTGCAGAACCGGACTCAAATCTTTTCGGAGACAGGCCATCAGACTTCTTAGTTCAGCCGTTGTGTGACTGCATCAGAACATACTTGCAAGTGCAACCCTTTGAAACCCCGCTCCACCAAAACGAATCCAAAGCCAGGATCCTTGCTCACTTTTGGCTGGCCTGGTCGATGCGCTCGTTGTAGTGGTCGCAGCCGATGATGTCTGAGAGGTACTCGAGGAGGCCCTCGTCGTGGGGGCCTTGCGCCTTGGGCTTCATCATGGCAATCTGCTCCACCTCGCCCTGAGCAGCAACACACGCCTCAGAAACAGGGCCTTGAAAGCGGCGCTCACCTGGAGCTTGCGACTGTGCATACCATGAGTCTAGCACAGGAAGGCTCTTCGTGAAGCAATTACTTCAGCAAGTGGATGGTTGACCTCTGGTGGAAAGCCCTGGATGCGGGTAGCGAATCGAAGCAGCGAACGGCTTGACTGGGACTATTTGCTTGACGCAGCCTGATACATGTCATTCTGCTAAATACACCTCAGCCACTGCCAATCGCAACTCAGCCACCGCCCATGTCAAGTTGGTATGGGCACAAACCTTGAAAGTTTGCAATTCACTGAAAGAGAGCACAGCACCCCACCTGGAGGATCAGGAAGCGGTTGTTGTCAAGGTCGATGCCCTTCCCTTTGAGCAGTTCCGTGACCTCTGTGAACGTGCTGTTCCTGCCGTTGATCATGTACTTAGAACTGTTGTCCCGGTTGGCGCGCCTAGTTACCACGAGCTCAGTCCCCGGCACGGGCTCTGAGTTCTCATCATCCTGCACGTCGATCATTGAACAGAGTATGTCATGTCTATCTGGTTAGTTCGAACCTTCTTCTCTATGAACGGAAAGTTCTGTACAGTGGATGGTCGCTGGGGTCCCTCCCCCGGAGAAGGACGTATTCAAAGATTGCCCAGGGCTTGCGTGTAGATATCATTGTTCAATGGCCTCCAAAGTAATTCTGCCCTACGAGAGGCATGACCAGCTTTGATCATGTCTGAAGGTCCAGCAACTTTGGAGACACACTGGTCTGGAAAGAATGGATCGCTTACCAAGTCAACGATCATCTGGAAGTATACCGAGACCTCTGCATAAGGCAGGTTCTGATGGTTTGTCGAGTTGTGGATCAGCTCCGAGACTTTGTTGAGCCGTAGCTGCAGACATGGGGGGGCAACATTTTCTGTCCGATCATTGTGCCTCATCAGTGTTGGCGATGATAAACGATACTTGCAACGCTAGCTATGGGAGCCTTTACACTCCAAACTCCACAGCGGGCAGAATCTTGAATGACGAAACTGTGTGAGCATTCTTGACCCACATTACCACTCTGCTAATCAGATGTGCACCATTAATCTACCACCATGAACTCAAGATGTGCTTGCGAAAAGCCCTTGGGGAGAGGCAACGCAGGGAAAACTTTCTGGCTGCCACGGTAAGGTTTCAGCGGACATACCTGCTTTGCCTTCTTCCCAAAAACAAAGAGCATGGCGTCGATGACGTTCGACTTCCCGCTCCCATTTGGACCAACAACAGAAGAGAAGCACTGCAGGAGTACAGGCGCTACATAAGCGGCGACCTTGGGGGAGAAAGAGCAGAAAAAAGAAGGAATCGTGGCAGAAGATTGCTCTATCAGAGCTTTCGTAAGTCCGTTGCGAGACTGCCACCACATTATGCAGAGGAGGTTCTAGCAGAGAACTTGCAGTCCATTCACCAAGATCTTCTAGACGAGTTGGTCACAGTCACACGGTTTTGCTACTGGCAGTGCCATGCAATCTTGGATTCTTAGATTTGCAAATGCTGAGGCTTCCTATCGTCGGGTAATCGTTGAGGATTCTCCAGGTCCACCAGGTGTCGCTCTTGAATGACAGCATTCCTTTGGCTGTAGACTGGGCATCACACTCACACCCTTCATAGCAGAAAGCAAGCCCATTTTACGATCAATTGATCTACAACAGCGTGGGCTGCACGTTGGCCCCTTCCAGCAAGACTGAAAGGCAGAGGACTTCCAAAGGTCTCCGCATTCCAAACAGTGTTTGGCTGTTACCTTCGTTTGGATATGCAACGGCGACCAACTACATTACTCATGAAACGAGCCAGTCTTACCTTGTGAAAGGGGCCTATGGATTTTGTGCCGGCATAGGACTTGAAGTTCACAAGCTCCATGCGTGTGATTACTAGCCTGGGGACCTGCGACTGCCGCCCTTCGCCTGCCCCAGGGGAAGTTACCATCTCCCGGCCCATACTTCTTATATGGAAGGAACCCACAGTTTACCAAGTGAGCTCCTCCAACTTTCAGCAGTTCTTTTTTAACAAGACGCCTGGTCAGCAGCAGAGCGACTCTAATCTGGCCCCTGACAAGAGTTGATGTGCACGCCTCCTTGATCGCACGGTACTCAGGACCAGAACTTCCGCAGGCGATCCCTCCAATTGCCCGTTACCCAGCGTCACCCAGCTTGCCCAATGCATTCAGTTGTGAGCGCCCCAGCTTCTCCTCTTTCTGAATAGCTGGCCGTATCGAAAAAGCGTCCTCAGAAGCAGCACTGGCAGAAGCACAAATTTGGCCACCCTTCTTTCTTGTTCGTAAAAAACAGCGGGAAGTCGAAACCTCATCTGAGCGATACTGACCGTCCGATTGGGTTTATCGCTGTCCATTGGAGCGACTGTCCTGAGCGGACCTCTATTGCGAAGGTCGCCGCGACAAATCTGTGCCATGGACATTTGTGTTGCAACACAAATGTCCAGCACGTAGGTAGGTACCAGAGAAGCTTCACTTATAAGCTTAACTTCACCATTTTCATGGATTGATCAGTGCATGGTTTTGTTTGTTGGCAGCTTCTGTTTTGTACCTACCGTACGGGACCCTATACCGGCTCACCTTATTTTTTGAGCGTTTATCTGCAATGCTGTGATCAAATCTGAACCAATTTGCGATCAGTTTTCGCCGCATATCCTCTTTTTCTAAACCTCATCTAGGGCTGCAAACGGATTAAAATTTGGCCAAGAGGAGGTCCTTGCAGCCCTGAAAACCTTTGTTTTTGGTCATAAAATGCAAAACGACTATAGGTATCGGCGATCGGCGTAGACTGGAACAAGATAACAAACAAATTGATCCACTTCTGGGTCAGCTCGATCCACTTCTGGACCCGATTCGGTTCTGGGGCTCGTACGGTAGATTCGGAGAGATGCTTTGTTTCTACTTGGAAGATCAGGAGCAGCTGTTGTCCCGCTAGAAAGGACGGGCTCACGGCCAGGTTTGTGCAGCTTTGCACAGGACAATCAGCGCGCACAGGTCTTGCCCTTGTTTCGTGATGCAATCGCTTTACAAATTACAGTTAGAAACACGATAGGTCGCTACTATTGCACATTTTCTAGGTTTTGCAAGAAACTTCTCTACGATCACAAGGAGAATGATGGTTCAAAAGAACTCCGAAGCTTGTATAGCTGATACGAAGGGACTAGGACGGGCTACGGATGAATGTTCTGAGCTTGTGGAGGATTGATGGCGGCAGGCATTTGCAGCATTGGCTTGAATCAGTCACTTGGCGGGCGAGTGGCCTCCTAGCTAGTGCCCAGCTCCCTTCCTGGCATTGCTTCCACTTCTGTCTGACAAGCTTGTCAAGCCCTTCATTGACCTTGAAGCGAGCACTGCCCTCATGGCAATCACTCACGAACCTTTAATCACGTCTTGGGAATGCTGAAGCTCCCATTTGTTTGGTGCTCTAGCCGCCTTATCCTGACTCTGTACATAGTTCTCTGCAAATATGGGACAAGTTGGATCAAGGAGCAACCACGGTCCTGCTTCCTCGCACCACGTCAACTCGACAGCAGAGCAGGAAAAGCTGACGCGCAATTCGAAGGATTCAGAGAAGCCAGTGCTTTATTCTGAAGGTGTAGTGTGGCAAAACTACGAGCTCGACTTGGAAGGGACGACCAGGCTGGCTTGGCATATTAGGTCTGCGTCTGTTGAGTATGGCCAGGATCTGAGTGGCGGCTTGGCATTGGGCTTGGTAGGAGAAATCCTGATGAAAGGAGCAATCGCTTACAGATTCATGTCAGAAAAGGCTTCAGTGCGAGAAAGTGGTGGGGACGTGGATGTGGAGGGCCGGGTCTATGTGCAGGACCTTGCGTCGGGGCTGCAACTGAGGGGCGAGGCGATGGTGAGGGTGTGACTTGCTGAGCAGAGCCAATCCAATCCACCTTGGATTAGTTGCATAGTCTCTCCTTGAATGGCTGGAAGCTTTTCGCTTTTGACCACCATGACAAGTCCTTTTTCTGGACATCACTTTGGCAAGCAAGATGTTCGAAATGAAGGCAAATCAGTGACATATTCCATGCCTACTTCTGATACCTGAGCCTAGCCTTGCATAACCTTAGTGTCAGGTCAGGTTCTAACTTGATGTCACCTGCTTTGTGTGGCACCTGTGTAGACTTGGAGCCCTGAAAGCCAGACACTGCGTCTGCATGGCGGTGTCGCCGCTTGTCGCGGTTCGAGTTTCTGGCTTCGGGGCCCCGCCCTCAATCTTGTTTCGAGTGTCTCAGCAGCACCACGGAGAAAGCAAGGGCAGAGCTCTAACTTCCTCCAGCCAGCAAAGCAGCCGCACAAGAGCTCGGCTTTTCTTGGTCTGGTTGCTCCTAAAGGGTGGTCTGGGTGTTTGAATGTAGAGGGGCCTGCTCATGCATGGATTGTGTCCCCATCGACAATAATCGGCGGCAGGCAAGCAGCACAGAAGGAAGCGCGTCGTATAGTGAGCAAGCTTGTTGCTGCCCCTATGGTTGAATCGCGGCCATGGACAAGTAAGATTGAGAAGCCAATTTGCGCGCCACCATCTGATAGAAACGGAGCTTTGCTGCCGGGAAAGCCGTCTCCTATAGGAAGGGATAATGAGAGGAGATCGGCATCGTACAAGCGTAGCCGGCAAGGTAGGGAAAACATAGAGATTCAGATCGAAGTAAGCGATGGGTTGACTTGGGACCTAGCGACTGATGCTCTGGCATCGGATGGCAACATTTCGGTATGGTGTGACAAAGTTTTTGATCGTCCGAGGTGACTGTCGGGAGAGTCCAAAATGAAGCGCCAATATGAGCCCATTACCGGAGATTTGTTCCAGTGAATACGTGCTTCCTTATCAAACCGTCATGTACACGCAAGAGCACGCCAATTGCAAACACAAACCCAAATGGGCGACACGAATCGGACAAGTCCGATCATTTTGTACACTTTTATGCATGTGGAAAGGCACCTGCCGAGACAATTCGATCACATACTGAATTCAGCAGGCAATTTCTAATGAGTTATAAGTGTCAACAATGTGAGCTGCCATTTTACACGTAGTCCAGATTGCATCATTGGTCGAAGATTAGTCGAATCGAACTTGCAGCTAGTAGCTAGTTCAGATCGAGCATGGGAAAATTGCAGGCCGGCCGGCAGCTGCCGCAGCTGCCTGCAATTTTCCCATGGGCATATGGCTGCCCGCAGTGCGCATGCTGGCTGGCACATGGCGAGCTCCTCGACTTAACCATAAGATCTAACTTAAGCTCGATCGTATACTCGATCCGCACTGCATGATCCATTGATCCTACGAACTTATCGGCTTAATTATAGCTTGCTCAAGCACCGGCCGCGCCTGCATTTATCATACTAGCTAAAGTCATGCCAATATATGGGCGTATATACCGTCAGTACATATCTGCCCGGGCCGCCCAGTCAAATGTCATGAAACATCATGAGATCTCGTCAATGAGTCCTGGGTCATACGCGGCGGCGCATGCAGTGCAACAGCATATGCAACAACGCCCGGCCGGCCCGGGTATGGGCCGCGGCGGCCCGTACCCGCCGGGCGGCCGTCCGGCCAACAGTCCAACGGTTTGACACAGCGAGCCAGTGGAAGTAAAACTAATTGTATTCTCAATATGTCAATGCTGCCATGCAGTTATGATACTCAGCAAGTTGCAATTACATTTGGGCTTGGACCAGGCGGCCAACAGCCGATGGTCTTTTTTCACCAGTGCCGATCAACCCCAGTAAAGAAAACATTCGTTGAGAACCTCAACAATGTTGACTCCGGATCGAAACATCAACATCATTTGAAAGGAGGAGAAAAACGGTAGGATCCTGTAATGAAACCATGTCCACAGCGAATTGCGAGAGAAGTTGATGTAAGAACCTGGACGCGGCTTTTTTCCAAGTATGTCAAATCACCGTCCATCCGGTTTCCTACACAGGTCCTACAAAGGGCGCTTGACTCCTCAACCGAGTCGATTGTCCAACGCATCCACCTTGTCCGCCCTTCTATACGAAACCACCCAATTTCTAGGCTGTACCTGTTACCAACAAAGCGTACCATACCTGATGGCTTTACAGTTCCTTGCGGGACACAATCCGTGTTGAGGTACATGAAGTGCATATCTTTGCCGCCCTTCTATCGCCCTTCCACTCTGGAGCTGGCCCCCCCTGGAACAAGTGGAGGCAATCGCTTACAAAAGTGGACTTGAACACACAAGCAGTTTGTTCATCGAAGTAAGAGCCACATACAACCTGGGTGTCAAATCGTATCACTTCGTCAGCGAGACACGTGTCTGATTCCTTCCAAGAGGGCGGTGCTACACTTTTCTTGCCGTAGGCCAAGACGTCAGGCGTCAGGCAACTTTCCGGCATTCCGCATAAGCGGGCTTGCTTTTCGTGGTCAGTACGTAACTTCCAAGTGTCAACGTGCTTTTGTAGACGGTGCACCAATCGAGAAAACAGAAAAGGAGGACGTTCGGACACACCTTTCGACGACGTAGAAAAAGAGAAAAAGAGGACGTTCGGACGCACCTTTCGAGGAGGCCCCTTTGAGAAGCGAAGTGGACTCTGCTTCCTCAACGTCCCCTCTGGGCGGCTTAGGGGTCTCCGACTTCTTGGGAGGAGTCATCGATTGCTGCACAAGGAGACAGCATGAATGGTTCAAACATGGCGGCCAGTGTTAGGATGGTAATAATCTACGTTCACCTGTCTCCCAGTTTTCCTAAGTTTCGCCTCGTTCAAAAATTACGGGCTCAGACACTACTTGCAACAAGCTCTACTCTAACAGTGAGAATCGTCGCCAACTACAGATGACCGTTTGGTTCGCAATCAAACGGTAAAAATTTGCAGGTTTCGGGCCGACTTTTTGGCACAATCCGGATTTCGCTTCTTTCCATTAAGCGCCGTACGATGAGTGCATGCTCCCGGCCTCTGCGCGTGCACGGCTGCAATGCATCCGGCAAACGTAGCGAAGTCGTGAAGATTTCGGACACTGCGAACCCGAATGCGAACCCAAACCAGAACCGGATTCATCCGAGTAGCCGGATCCGAAAACGGTTGATCGGAATCTGCACGGCTGCAGAACGCATTTGGCAAACAGTCGCAACATTGTGCGGGTTTCGGACTCTCCATTGCGCACACCCTATGGTGGCCCTACCAAAAAGACGGAAACGAAGCCGAGACACATGTTGTTTCCGATTGGGAAATACAAATGCCGCCTTGTTCGATTAGGAGTCGGGTACCAATTCTCCGGTCGGCAGAGCAAAAGCAACGGAATACATTATGTTTACGGATTGATGTTTCTGGAACTGCTCAAAGCTCCATCCCAAGATTCATATCAAAGGTCTGGGGCGAAGTGCTCGGGAACAGAGATGTTGACTTTTCAGTGACGCCTGGTCGACAGCCGAAGCGCTCTAACGACTTGCCAAGAGCGTCAGCCTTAAACCAAGCCGTATGATCTGATACAGCTCTCGAGCTACAATGTCTACTTTTGTCGAGGAGCTCCTTGGCAAAAACTACTGGTGCAGCATGGAGAGAAGAGCTCTGGTTGACTGTACATTGAAGTAGGACACTGCCGACTCGGTTCGTTAGAGTACCGGACCTCTTGCGAACGTATTGGGTAGGCAGACCTGAATGCGCTTGCGTGCTCACGTATCGCGCAACCCCAAGGAGGACAAAAATTAGACTTCTGATTTCGGACCGGACTAGATAGCACCCCCTTGCCATTGCTTGCTCAAGTATTGTGCAAACCCAGGGGGAGGAAAGAAGAAAATTTCTGGCAGTCCTACGAGACCGATACCGTACCTGGTATAGCACCCCCCCGCCGATGCACACGAGCAGCATGCACACCCCGAATGTGCCCGCGTGCTTGCTCCACACGGTGACGTTGATGAGCACCGTCAGCAGCTTGTTCGTGACCCCGACCACCGTGAACGACGTCGCGGAGAGCGCCTGGCGGCACGAGAAGCCGAAGAAGCTGATGGCCAGCCCGAAGATGCACGAGAGCACGACGGGGCCGTACGACCCGAGCGTCAGGTACTTGGCGCCCTCCATCTGCACAAGGAAAATTGGGTCTTGAAATCTGTCAATTGGGCTTCAAGAATTACAAGTTTGTGACAGTTCACAGATGCACGCGAGCACGACGGGGCCGTACGACGCGAGAGTGAGGTACTTGGCGCCTTCCATCTGCAAGTAAAGGATTGGATATGTCAGGATTTGTCGATTTAGGGTCTAAAGAACACGATTTTCTGGCAGCATGACAATGCACGAGAGCACGACCGAGCCGTACGACGAGAGCGTCAGGTACTTGGCGCCTTCCATCTGCAAAGAGGAGATTGAAAATTTAAGGTTTTGTCGAATCAAAGTCTGAGAAATACAATGTCCTGCCAGCATGCAGATGCACGAGAGCACGAGCGGGCCGTATGATGCAAGTGTCAGGTACTTGGCTTCCTTTAAGTATAGAGTAGGATATTGAAAGTCTAATATCTCCTTGATGCAGGGTTGAGGACAGGATTTTTGCCGCTCGATATTGCAAGAGAACAAGACAGGGCCCTACAACGCGAGTGTCAATAATTGGCGCCTTTCATCTGTAAAGTAGGAGATCGGGGGGTATGAAGTTCGCTAATCTACGGTATAAGCAAGAATTCTTGCCAGTCGGACATTGCACGTAAAGAAGACAGGGCCATGTGACACGAGCGTCAAATACTTGGTACCTTCCATCTGCATAGTAGGAAATGGGGATCAGATATTTCGTCAATTCAGGGGATCGACAAGCTTCCTGCCAGTCGACAATTGCACGAAAGGAAGACGGGGCCATACGAACAGAGCGTCAGGCACTTGGCGTCTTCTATCCGTATGGTAGGAGTTGAGTATTATCGACATCGTCGATGAGGAATTGAAAGAGGGGAGATCCTGCCAGCCCCGTCGGAACAAAAGACGTCAAGAAGAAGTGCCAGAAGATTGACGAGCAACTGACGGATTGAGTAAGAACTTGTTCATTCACATTCCATTGGGAAAGGGCGGTCCGGACCGAGGCACTGGGGAACACACTGGGGGTCTTGTTCGAGACCACGGAATAGGCGTGAGATGAAGGATCTACGGGTGGAGTTATCTTCACGGCGAAAAAGCAAGTGCGTCTCTGCACGAGTGTACGTGTAAGGCTCACCTGGATGCTTGCAGACAGGTCGCTCATATTCGTTTGCTCGGAGGTACTCGGTTGGAACAACTGCATAAAGGAGGGCCCGATATCAGACGTACGCAGGAGTTGCTCATGTTTTCTAGATCCCGATCAATGACTCTTTCACCAGCTTCATGGCGTCGACAACTCCGCCAGCGAAGCTCGGAAACTCCCACAGCTTATGAAAGATACTGGGTAATATCTGGTGAAGGAGATAATTGCCTATGGAGGCAGGCAATTAGCTAAAAGAAACGGAGATCTGGAAAGGAATGTTCCACCCCGACCGCAGCTGCTAACAGATGCTCTGAATACTTGCAGCACGAGAATGGTCGAGAAGAACGAAACAAACGAACGAAATCGGTGTCCCTGACAGACTCTTGCAGCTCAGATTAGCCAAGGCCGGATTCCCTTGTTGCCCCTTCGTTGCCGAGGGCCAAGAAAAACGACGACGTCTTGAAACCTGAAGCGACTGCTTACGACAACTGCCTCTGTCAGCGCCTTAATCAGCTATGTACTGAAGCTAGGGGTTGCGTGGCAGTCATTTTGAAAGGAGACGTAATCGTTACGGCTAAACCAGCAGACAGCGAAGTTGGAGAAGCTTGTAGTGTCACTGCACCATCTGCGATCCTCTCCTTCCTCTTGCACTTTTTGAGAGAAGATCCCCCAGAAGTATGGAGAGCGGAATGGTACAATGAAGCCTCACCTCTGCAATTCCAAAGCCCTCTCCTGTGATGAAGATGAAGATGGGGGACAGGAGCAGCGCGAAAATGTTGTTGTAGTAGACGAGGCCCCACGTCTTGAGCCCGATGGTGCTCACTACGTGCTTGATGTAGACCATCTCAGTTGTGATGGTAATCAAATAGAAGGTCGCCTGTTGAAAGATCGAGACCCCGCTTCTAAGTCCCGAGCATTGATGGTGGCGGACTCAGTCCCGGCGTGCATTTCCATTGGAGGAAGTGTGGTTGATGAGGCCAAGTCGACATGATGGTGGTCATAAAAAGGTCGCCAAAGAAGAACCATGATTTGACAAAGGATGGTTCAGCATGCAGAGCCTAGCATCGGCCACTATTGAGTTCTCGAACAGGCTCTGGAGCTCTACTGGTGCTCAAAACGTGTTTGTAACGGACTGTATCAGTCATGATAAAAGTGATTTGGTAGCCAGACAACATTGTTTTTGCGCGATGCTTATGGATTCCCGATACTTTGGCAAACGAAAAAGGAGCAAACCTTTTCTCATCGGTGACTGCTGCCAGATCGCATTTTGAAAAATGGGAGCTGTCTGTGAGCTAAGCACGTTCTTTCTCTGCTTCACGGTGCTGGTAAGTACGATCCAATGAGCAAACGGTGATCGATTTTGACGATCCAATGAGCAACGGTGATCGATTTTGAGACAAGGAAGGATTCTAGTGCGCGGATATATTCCAAACGGCTGTGTCTTGGGGTAGGCTTCCGAGCTCGTAAATTTCGGACAACCAACAATGACTTTGAGCTCGTGGATTCTGACAACCAAAAATCTCTTCCAAGACCAAATCATAGCCCAGTTCCACCAGACAGAATCGCTTCGAAAAGGGGCAGTCTAGATGATCAGATTGGGACTGAAAGGAGGGTGCGGTTTTGATTTTTTCAAAGGCTGGAGTCTGGTTGTTTTTGGTGCAGTGCCATCGGACCTTGTTGCAAGCAGCCCATTCAGCTCAATAAACCATATTCTGACACGAGCACAAGCCTGCTAAACTCTAACCCGATAACAAGAGCAAGGGGCGCAATCCGATCTGTCCCGTACGAAAAGCGAACCAAGCGGGAATCAAGCAGTTTGTGAATGGTCAAGGACAAACTCACCCAGCTGTAAGCAGCGATACTGATCTCAAAGTCGGTTGCAACATACCTGCGGGGAAGAGGGGAACTGGATCAGCTGACCCTCCCCATTGATGTTTACGTCATTGTACTGTGCTGAGCAGCTAACTTAGATGTAACAGTAGCCAAGATTGTATTCCTACTGCTTTCTACAGAAATAGTGACCTTGGTCCTCCCAGATCAGCGGACAAGCTGTCCTTTCTGAGCTGTAAAGCATACCAGCTCGTGCTTTTGGCCTAGCCAACACTCGGGGGTGAAGTTTTAAAGCTTGATGACAGGCCCGTTCACTGAGCACAGTCTTGGACACTGCCAGCAGATTCCTTAGATAGCGCAGAGCAGTACTGGGGTAAAAAGGGCAAAGAAAGGCCGAGAAATCAAAGGTACCAACCACTAGGATAGGCCTCTCAAGAGTGGGAATTCCACAATTCCAGCAACCTGGTTTGTTCTTGCGGAAAAACCAACCAACCAAACTCGAGTTATCGCATCAATCCTGCTTATATGATGGGTACATTGCTGTGCCAAGAACAGGAAAACTTTGTTCTATGCAGCATGCCCGATCAGAAATCTGCAAATCTCAAAGTGGAAGGTTACACCTTGTCCCACTGCTTGTTCAGCTCAAGCACTGCTGAAAGGTTCTTAACCTCACCCAACAGCCCCCAGGAGGATGATAACCAAGGAGACAAACGTTGCATTTGACGGCCACGGCCGCTTCATGAACAACGAGTCTGCGATAGCAACTAGGAGCGGGGTCGATGACCGGAAGATGATGAAAGTGTCAACCTGGAAAAACGCAAATGGATTTGATGTGACACGAAGACCCACCAATGAAAATCTGATGGGGTGACAACAAAAGAAAGGATCGTTATGGGAGTGGCAACAAAGACTAGATTGAGCTCGTGAGGTGGGGATACAGGCAGCGTTAGAGTGAGCAGTGATCTGCAGCGCAGGTGTCGACCAATGTTTTATTTGCTTGTACTCTTACTGCACATGCTTGGCTATCTGTGGCAAGACAATTAGTTTGTCAATTATTCAGGGTTTTCATTCCTGTCTGATATTTCAGCAAAGTGAGGAGTGACAGAAGGTGAGTCAGAAAGCTTTCAAGTAAAGAGGTGCCTTCGTTCTGAACACGAAACCTTAAACGAAAGAGACATGAGCTCACTCATAGGTCACCAATGTCCAAGGCAATCAGATGAATGGGGATCTATCGGTGCATTATGCATCATAATCGAGATCTCAGTAAATAGATCCTGAGCTGACCAAGATGAGAGTTCAATTAGGGTTGTGAATAAAGTCATGGTGCGCACTTATGCTCATTCAGCTGACTTATAAGTTGACATTTCTTCAGGATCCACATATCGGCCTGAAAGGTGATCCCTTCGAATTAAATGCTTCCTACAAACCCCAACGCTTTGTTACTTGAAGGAACCCTCTGATCACATTCCAATCAATTCCGCAGATCTTGAGGCGGCAAAGGGGCTTACATTAGCGTAATGCAGGACCTTCATGTTGGAGAAGACCGCCAGGAAGAAGACGAGCGCAGAAGGGAAAAAAGCCTTCAGCTTGTCCCACTGTAGCGGGTCGTGCTCCAAGATCTTGAACTTCCCAAGAAAGTACACGGCAAGGACCGACACCAGGTACTGAATCATGGCCAGGAGGCCGGGGAATGGAAACACGCTGACGGCATACTTGTTTATGATTGATAGCAGACTCGATGTGAGAGCATACCCTACAGTAATGGCCACTACTGATGCCACTACCGGCTCCTTGGGCTTCGAATTGCTCTCCATTGTGCTGGCTTCGAAGAAGCAAGCTCAAATCCTGGATTTGCTTATGGATCACACTAGATCAGAGCAAAGCTTAACCTGCATTGCCTACGTGCGAGCTCCTAGGTGCAACTAGCAAGATTCCGACACAATGATCCTTCTCCTCGAGTCCCTACCGCCCGTTTCTGTCTCTGGTTCTTAAATCAATCTGAATCATCCACCATTCTGCAGGCCCGCTCCCCTGATCGCAGAAGGAATCTTCTTAAAAAGGATATTACGTTTAATGAAGAAAGGCGGCCCTCCCCAGAAGCTAGAGAGGACTCTGGCAAGTTTCAACCGTCGTCAAAAACAAATTCTCGAAGGGGACAGGGAGGGGACACAGTGACAGGGCACTCTATAGAGTCTGCTGCAGATCTGCAAATTGCAGACGGCAGGCGCCATGATTGAATGAATGCTTGCAAGCTCGCTGACGTCAACCCTCAGGCCCAGGCCCAGGGCGGCCCGGTCTTGAACGGACGTACGCGCCGGCCCCGGCACAAACGAGCATAGTGCGCGAGCTGCGCGCGGATGACCCCATGTCACCTACTCCATGCTGACTTTAATTTCCAGCTCAATCTACGGTAGTTCACGAGGATTGTGGGCGCATCTTCCTCATGCTGCAGTGCCATGCAGTTTGAAGTTGTTGAAAGCAAGAGCGCCTTTCATCGTGACCTCGGGCAATCTCTCACCTCGAATCCACCTCTGAAGCCTGCGGTGTGTTCTCAGGCAGGAGGTTTATCCAGAACAGAGGCTGAAAGCTGTGATTATCCTATCAGCCGGCAAACTCTCTTCTGTGTTTTGAAACAAGTCCATCGTAGGCGGAATAGTTGGTGAAGCTATATACTGCACCGACGTCAGAAAACGATGGGGGCACTGATATCAAGACTATGGTTCTTTTGGTTCCCAGCAAAGGAGTACAAGATTGTCGTGGTTGGATTGGACAACGCAGGTAAGTTTTGTACCGTATCTTTCGTGTTATTGCATGCTCCTTTGCGGAAGGTGACTAACTGATCCGCATCAGGCTTTCTGATGATTGAACAAGGTGTGCTGGTGCAGTCGCTGCTCGATGCCCCCGTCAGAAGGTTAGAGATGAGGACATAGTCTTCAAGGAATAGTTATGTTGAGCTCAATTCGTACTAAAGATAAAGCTAACTTTAAAAGGTAAACCTAAACATCTAACTGCTTCATAATCCTGCCCACCCTGAACCCCCTCACTAACCCCACCCTTTCTAGTGTTGAGCCTAATAACCAGATTAGATACCAATGGTGAATGCTCTTCGAAGCGCTTGCTGCCAGCGCTGCGCCCTGGTGTCAACATATGCCTGGTTTTAGAATGCCGCCACAACCCCAGAATTTATCATGAAAGTTTGATTGGATCTTAGTGAAAGAATGTCAAGGAGTTGGTCTGGCTTTACACTCTGCAGAAGTGGTGAAAGCGTGGGTAGCCTCTATCCGGCTCATGATGTCGTCAACTTACTGGATCAGCGAATTGGCAGTTCCAAATTGTATGGCAGTCTCTCTGCAACGTTATGTAGTCTCTCGTTTCTGACAGTTGCCTGTCTAAGTAGAGGCAGTGATTAAATTAGGGTTTGAATACGACTTTCACGTTTGGTGTTGGGCCTCCTCCACCCTTGTTTTATGGATCAGGAATTAGGTCCTATTTCAAGCGCTCCGCAGGCTAACTTTTGAAGATTTTAAGAGCTCGACACCTGCCGCTAATTTCCAACCCTTGTTTCTCAGGGTAGATTAAACCTTAAATGAATCTGTGCTTCCACTCGCTGCGAGAAGGGGATCAGTACAGTGAAGCTTTGTTTCTTCATAGCGCTCTTCAGTTGGCAGGCTGGGTTTGGACAAACTATTTCGGCTGCATATCATGAAGTCGAGCAAGGTTTACTCTCTTTAGTATTCAAGTTCTTTTGCCCTCTCTCGCCCTGTTTAGAAGTACCCCTTAAGCATGATCCAGCTTGTTGACAGGAAGTTGCTAATTTACTTGTTGATTCTTTACTCGCAAGGCAAGTTACAGCTCCTCGTCAAGAAGTATAAGTGCAGATTAAACTTCCGTTTCTTCAGTGCTTGTGATCCTGTTGCCTTCGTACGGTATGGGCTCAGGCCATGCCTCAGAAATATATTCCAGTGCCATCTCGGTGGCAGTTCTGAAGAGAATCCAGTTAGTTAGTTGGTTAAGTTAGAAAGTCTATGTAAGAAAGTCACTCTTCTGAACTTTCTCGACGGGGTAATTCGACAAGTATAGAATCATAAGCTCCTGAATCCACAGAAGTCATGTGATAAAATATCTAGTATCAACGAGCAATGCAGATTGATCTGACACGTCAATAAAGGAGAAGGGAACTGTTTACCTGTTTGCACAGCTCCATACTGCAAGTCTTTCTACGCCCAATCCAGTCCCCTTGACTGTATGGCCCCAGCCAAATGTTCCTGTACGACAGTATCTGATGGCCCCAGCCCGCAAATCCTGTTCGGCCATTCATTATGTCGTTAACCTGCGGAGGTATAGCAACCGGAGGTTGTGGAACCGGACTCGATATGGAGGATAAATTTCTGGTTACGTTTCACACATTGACAAGCTTCACTATCATGCACAGTGTTTCTGGAACATCAATACTCATGAGCGCGAACTTACTGAACTTGCAGGAAAGACAACAACATTGTATAAGCTGCATCTGGGGGAGGTGGTGGTTACGCAACCAACGGTGGGGAGCAATGTGGAGGAACTGATATATAAAAACATTAGATTCGAGGTGAGCTCTCTCTCCCCTCCCACTCATTATCATTTTCCGTTCTTGCGCTTTGGCATGCTGAACGACGGTCTGTGAGTTTATGGTCAGCAGTATACGCTTGCAAAAGGTCAGTCGACTCCAGTCTGAAGTTGACCTGTCTTGCTTCTGCTTTAGGCGTCTAGCTCAACTGTTCATTCTCTTAACCCCACCCGTGACCCTCTTTATTGAATGCCTCTAGCAGTGGGTTACCTACGGCCTGAGATTAGACCCAATTCTGTCATCAGATAGTTTCTACTCGACGGAACTTGTTGCAAGCTTACGTTGTGTCCTTGACAAGTGGTGGCGGGGCTTCGTCTGTATGGGACCCCAGATTTGCGCACTTCTCACTAAAATTGCTGGTGCTTTGTGGATAATGCATGAACACTCGCGTGGCCCAAGCATTATGCTCGTTGGCATTGGTACTGCTGGACAATTAGGACGATGCTGGTAAATCCGTGTTCGATGATTTGTGTCGCAGTATTTCGATGCCCTTCGTCGTCAAGTTGCCCCACTAAAGCACGGAGTACGCTTGTTCGGAAGTCGTGTAAAGGTTTTACCGTTCGGTTTGGGAAACGTCTTGGCCTAACCGGACATATCAAGGTGTCTTCGTTTTCTGGCCTGTTGAAGCTACGTGCGTCCTGCGCATCTGAGCAGCACCTTGAGATAACATCCGGGCAATCCATTCGCGCCTGCAACAGCTGCTCTGCCCTAGCCGCAGAGGCAAGAAGTATTGGCGGTGTGATTATCGTTGTCTCCTTCTTTCTAGAAACGACCGACCTGCGAGCCCCTCTGCTGTTCACTCTCCCCTCTTGTCAATATTCTGCACACTCCACCTGGCTTCGAAATTTACTTGTCCCTTACATGTTGAGCATCTCGAGCTCTCGTCACAATTCTCTTTCTTTCCTGCCTCCCTGTATCCTGGTGGACAGCTGGCAGCCTGCTTCACGTCGATCCGGTTTCCCCTGGTCAGCCAAAAAGTTTCTGTCGACAAAACGCGCAAAGGAAATGCACAAACACCTGCAACCTCGAACCCTGCAGGTATGGGATCTCGGAGGGCAGGACCGTCTGCGGACGTCATGGGCGACGTACTACCGGGGCACGCACGCGGTCATCATAGTTGTAGACAGCACGGACCGCTCGCGGATCTCCATAGTGCGGGACGAGCTCTTCAAGCTACTAGAGCACGAAGACTTGCAGCCCGCTGTAGTGCTTGTGTTTGCAAATAAGCAGGACTTGAAAGACGCGATGTCCCCTGCCGAAATTAGTGATGCGCTCTCGCTGCACTCAATAAAGCGGCACGACTGGCACATCCAGGCGTGCTGTGCGCTCACGGGAGAGGGCCTCTACGACGGGCTGGGGTGGATAGCGCAACACGTGACAGGGAGCAAAGCCCCGACGTAGGTAGAAGTAGGCTTGTACATATTTCCTCCGACTGTGTTCCGAACTGTCAGTTTGTCTTCTGTCGGACGCTTAGCAGGCAATGTATGTGGTTGCTGTCAGACATGCATTCAATATCATTCCAGACACACTCGGTCACGTCGTTGAACAAAGTGAATTGTCCATCTGAACGATTGAGAATCAGGCGGCCGTCGTTTTGAACCTTAAACCTTACCTTCGCAATGGTGTGTAGGAGTCCGACGATTGGATCACCGTTATATATGTGCTCAGTATCCATGCTCGATCATCGATTCATGGTGATCGTTGTACGGTTCACTGAGCTAGTCGGGCATGCCAGAATTCGATGGGCGATGGCCATACGGCCGCGCCCAGTTTTTAAGTTAGCTGCCGGGCCGGGCCGCTGAGTCATGGAAAATAAGCAACAATGGTCTGGCAGCATATGTTGCAGTTAGATTATTTATACGGTCAGCCTGGCAGCCTATAAGTTGTTAATCCGATATGCCATTATGCAGTCACTCATGCAGTTGCTCCGTTTGCGTTCGGATCTAGCCATGCCATTATATATATGGATGTCCGCATGCACATGCACTGGCGTATACCGATGCATGCGTCACGCATGCGCCAGCACGCCAATATCGATATACATTGAACTTACTAATGCTTAAGCAGCTAGCTCCGAAAAAAATGCCGCATGGTCTGCGGGCCCCGCGGAGCCTGCTATGTATTAGTATACGCCAATATGGAGAAACTCAGTCACACTCCCTGTTGCCGGACAAGTATATAGTCATGTTAGTATACCATCTACATATATGATGCATGTACATGCCATGCGGCGGCCGCGCACACATGGCTCAGTGGTACACGTGATTCAACGATTGCGGGCCTCTAGCTCACCGTCGAACATGCATGAAGTACTATACTACGGTCGCCGCATCACCGTCTGTGGCGAATGGAGCATGCATTGGCAGCTGCAACTACCATGGATTGTGAAGCAGCACAGTGAAGATCGTCAATTGAGGCATGATATCCCATTCGTGTTCAATCAGCCACTAGGCAGATTCTGCAGCAAGGCCTGGAGTCATGTCGGATGGTTACCACAAGGAGAAATCAGATCTAGGGCTACCAAAGTATCCCAAGCACAACGGTCAAAATTTATGGTACACCGTAACAGAATCAAGTAGGTGACGATCAATCAGGCAGCCTGGATGTCATGTCCTCAAATTCTCGGCCGGGGCAGTTGTAAAAGAGCCCAAAGCGGCCGTTTGCTCTTTACACTAGGTGCTGATCGATCCACAAAATCAGTCCGTCTAGCTTCTTTTTGGCAACTCTTTTGCGGCAATCTCAGCAGCGTCCGTCTTGGCACCAGCGCGGATCGGGGAAAGTCGAATGGAGTATTTGTATTGAATCGGTGGGAGGAGATACTTGGAATGGACGCTTGGGGTCCAGCTGTCATCCCCGCCGATACCCATGTGCTCATGGTCCAAGTGTACCTAGAGAACAATCATTGGAAGAGTTAGTTCCTTGAACTCGTCTGCTCCTAGCGGCGCTCTTTTATTTTGGACGTCAGACACAAACTGCAATAACCACCTGTGACAGGCGTGCTTCCCATCTGCGAATTACGATCTTGGTGTGAGAGGGCGGTAGTCGTGCCCCAAAGTGATATAGATTGCAGCCGAGAAACATCGGGACACAGGACTTCGCTTCAGGTACTGCTGGCACCAAGATGCAAATTACACCAGCTCGACCAGAAGCACACGCAGACAGCCACCCGGTTCCGTTGGGCTGAAATCGCACATCCTGTTTCAGAAACAGGCCGACACACAAGAATTCTGTGCAAGAAAGGTGCAACGTCCCTGCTTACAATAACCAACACCTTTTGAAAAAAAGCAGGTCACAGGGTTCTAGGGTTGAGGGTGTCAAATGCTCGGGAACCCGCCCCGGTTTACTCACGTGAATCCCCGCCTCGTCCGGCACCAGCTCCTCGTCGTGCAGCGCCTGCTCCAGCGCCTCATTGGAGAACTCGCTCACGTTCACCTGCGCCGGAATCCTTTCAGATTGGTTGGACACAAGATCCTGTGGAACCGTCTGTCTTTCAACGTAGAAAAAAGGTTCTCCTATTCGTCGTTATTTAAAGATGCTGTCCTGCTTGCCCCGAACCCTTTGCAGAATTGTTTGGGCTGCTTTGTCAAATGTTGGAGACCGAGGTTGTAAGACAGCTGCGACACAAATCCGGCCTCGTGAACTTCTGCCATCCGCATACCTGGAGCGGCCGGGTGATCCCCCCGGGCGCCGCAACGAATCCCCGCGCGCCATCTGGGCTGGAGATCGCCACCCAGCGGACGTCGGCTCGGCCGCCACACTCCCCAGGTGAGATGTAGGGCACGTGGAGGTCGTGGGCGGTGGACTTGTAGCGGCCCACCCAGGCAGAGGCCTTGCGGTCAGGGTAACACTCGTGGGGGCCCCGACCATACCACTCGACAGCCTGGGAAGAAAGACCAGTGTAAATAAGCGGCAAACCTTATCTGAATAAGCTGGAAAAGAAAAAAGTAACGTTGTTAGACAGACAGAAGGATGCGGTCGGGGTAACACTCGTGGGGGGCCCGGCCATATCACTCGACAGCTTGGAAAAGAAAGACTCGGTGTAAACAAGCAGAATGGATAGGAACACTTTTCATCATACTTGAGACTGGGTTGCGGTCGGGCTCGCACTCGTGGGGGCCCCGGCCATACCACTCGACGGCCTGGAAAGAATACCCAGTGTCAACAAGCAGCAAACCTATCTGAATAAGCTGGAAAATGAAACATAATCTTGTTAAGAGAGAAAAGAAGGGTGCGGTCGGGCAACACCCGTGGGGGCCGCGGCCGTACCACTCGACAGCCTGGGCAAGAAAGACCAGTGTGAATGAGCGGAAAGTAAAAGTGAGTAAGCTGGAACACAGAGAAACTTGTATTTAGACATGGAAAGAGTACGGTCGGGGTGACACTCGTGAGGGCCGCGGCCGTACCACTCGACAGCCCGGCAAGAGAACCCCAGACTGAAATACCGAGGAACTGAAAGTCCGATGTCGGCAACATAGAAAAGAGGAGACGCAACCTGGATTACAGCTCAAGACAGCTTCAGACATCTGCAAAGGTTTTAAAAGCCGGATTCCTCGATGACTCCCGTATCCGCCAAGGCTCTGTGGGTGTTGCGAAACCCGTCTTCTAAAAGCTCTCATATCAGCCGGATTCTCGGACCCGCTTCTATACGTTATTGCTCACAAAGCGCACCTCAAAATTCTGCTCTTCATGACGTGAAACTCGCCCACCTCCAACGTTACTCTCACGGCCTTCGTAGACCTTCATCACATCCTAGCTCTCGGAACCGCAATCATCAACCCTCGTGCTCTCACAACAATCCGTGAAGCCCATACTCTGAGGATCTGCTTCATCCTAACAAACGATTGTGCTCCATCAATCCTTACGTGCCACGTGGTCCAACCACACCTCACCTTCATCTCCTTTGGCACGACCATGTCCAGCCCCACCCGCGCAAGCGGGGGCAGCCACGTGTCCGGGTTCACTTCCACGTCAGCAACGATGTCCCCGCTCCCGTACACGCTGTACGTCACGCTGACGTCAATCTTGCCCTCGTGGCCGGTCTCTGGGATGGGCTGGCTGGAGTGGTCCACGGAAGGGGGGCCCACATTTGCCTGTGACGGTGCCCCCCCGCTAGGTTCCAGTTCCGGCGTGCTGTCGGCGAAGTAGGATTGAGTGAATGAGCCGCCCTTTTGGGGCCGCTTGAATTTGCTGGGCTCGAGTCGGAGCTGGGTCCGAACCTGTGGAATCCAGGAAGCTGGGTAAGCGGCGTCACCCGTTCCCAAACGGCGTAAACGTTATTTCTTTAATGATACAGCAGATTTTTTATTCACCGACTGGCAGTCTTTGAACTCTGGTTCCTGATCAAAGCTTCGGAGAGGCGAAAGTTTCAAAGCAGGCCGCGAAAGTTAGAAGGTAAGCGGTATGACTCGTTCCCAAACGGCGTTCTTATTTTTACAGCTATACAGCAGAGGTTGCCCAACGATCAGCAGTCGTCCACTTCTGGTGTCCCGTTCGTCATCAAGCTTCGGAAGGCGAGCCTTTCAAAGCAGGCCGTGGAAGTTATCGGTGAATTTATAAAGCGAGCAAGTCGGGCCCAACTCCCCAGTATGCTCAACTTCATCCTAATCAACGATCATAGATACTTTGAACGAAAAGGACTGAAGCTTGTGAAAGGATGCGACAAGGAAAAGTGACCCGAAGTCTGCGCTGCAGAAGCGGGCTAGACTCAGCAGACATTGAACCAAAAAGGAGGCCGGCCGAATCTCCGCAGCTTATGCCTGCATCTATTTGAAGACAAATACTTTGTGTTACGAAAGAGCAAATACCCATCTCAGCGTCAGTCTTGGCAGGCATCCCATCGATGTCCGGCGGCCGGAACGTTTCCATAATTCTCACCTGGCTGAAGGCGTGGTCTGCCGGCTGGCTCAACACAGCGGTCTCGGCATTCGCAATCTCCAGCCTGCGCGTAAACCAAAGATCCTCAGCATCCGGCCTTGTCAATCGAGCGGAAGCAGCGCGAGCTGTCTGAGGAGCACGAACAAGGTAACTGCATCCTACGTTACGCAACACGCAAACCCATTGAATTGAGCGGCCCAGCCCCATCAATGATTGCCAGAGACTGCGAACGAGCGCTTTTCAGAACCCCTTTCCGCTCGCAGACTCGCAAGCACTTCTTATCTGCCGAACCCAGAACCCTGCCAACCCGCTGTTCGGAAATCTGCTCTTGTCCTAGCACTAGCACGTAACCTCAACGTTAACCGCGTCGCTCCACCCCCTCGTTTGAATAGAAAGCTTCTCTTCGTGTCCGCAAGCTCCTACTCTCCGAATAGCAACCACGCCTAGTTACCTGTCCAGCCCCGCCAGCTTCCACCTAGCCACGTAGCTCATGTTGAGAACGAACGCCTCGGCGCGCAACAGCGCCCTCGCGGCGCGGGGCCACGCGCTCACGACCACGGAGCGCGCCTTGCCAAACACATTCTCAATGAAGTGGATCGGCTTCACGAGGAATGACCTGTTCACCCCCCCCGCCGCCCACTTGGCGATGTAGCTGGTCTCGCCTCCCCCCTTGTCGTTGTCAATCGGCGCCCGCCAAAAGGAGGGAAAGGGGCCGCGCACGAGGAGGTCGGTGCCGTCCACGGTCCACCGGGAAATGGTCCCGGTGGCGTTGTCGAACTCGACCTGAGGAAACAGAAGGGAGGTCGGATTCGACATCGGTGCAGCAAACCCGCGGAAAATATTTTTGATTCAGTATCAATGCAGAGGGATAGTACCGTAGTCCAACGTGATGATTCCGAAGAAATATTCGATTATTTGCGTTCGGAAAGTCAGAAATTCAGATTTCCCAATCGAAAAATATACTTTCGGAAAGGTAAAATAACCCTGAAATGGTCCTCGGAAGCCGTAAAACTGCCAAAAACTGCCAAACCCCCCCCTTTTGAGTGAGACCATAGGGCATTCGGATTTTGGTCGGAATCAGCATAAATAAGTCCACTTTCCTGGTCGGATTGTTGGAAAATAATTCGAAATGAAATCGTTTGGAATCATCAGGTTGGACTACGGTATGTTAGTTTGCAGGCCATCTCACCTGCACGGAATCGTCTTCCGACGTGACCCTCGTCCGCCCGTCCTTCACCTCCACCCGCACCTTCGGCACCCCGGAGCTCATCCCCTTGCTCTCGTTCCGCCGTTCCGGCGTTCCGCCCTTCCGCCCCTCGGGCAGCGTCACTTGCTGCGTGGCAACCACGTGGCCCTTCGACGCCCATCGCGTATCCCCCGCCTGGACAGCTGTCAGCGTCAGGAACGTCTCGCCCTTCGCGCTCTGCCGACTGAAGGCCCAAGGGGCGGACGCGTGGGAGAGGAGAGCGGAGTTCCGCGGCGGAATATTCGGGACGGAAACGGAACCGGAGCCCAACTCGACGCCGTCGGAAGAAAGGGACCACGTGAAGGAGAGGGAGTCGGAGGAGACGTCCGTGAAGTAGAAGCGGTTGAAGATCTGCACGAAGAGGCGTTACAGCAACCTCAATGCTCTTTGTAAGTATGGGCGCAAATGCAAAACACGGGCCTTGAATATCGTCATCAAGTCATAGTACCAAAAGAGCGTAGTGCAGGTTGATATGGGCCGTTTGCTGCTGGTTCGAAGGGGGGAGGGCTGGGAAGATTCTGACTCCGTGCCCTCGGATGAGACACCGAAAAGAGAGAACAATTACGCGGTTGGTCTGTGAGAGTGAACGTTTCGGGCAAGCGCCAGAAGAGAACGATAAACAGCTGACTCCAGTTGGCGGTTCACTTGGTTGTTGGCCCGCAGCGCCGCTGCTAAACATCCCCCGTTTCTGGTGAGTGAATCAAGGTCTTTCCGCTCGCTAACGAGTACTTTCTGCGATTAAATCAACTCCCTTGAAGGATTCTTAGCTTACCTTGATTCCTTCGGCTTCGGCCGTGATCGCCAGCGGTTGATACAGGTACTTGACTTCGGCCACGGCCGGGTGCGGCGACCGGTTGGGCCACACGATACCGTTGAGGCAGAAGGTCGCGTCGTTGGGCATGTCGCCAAAATCGCCGCCGTACGCCCAGTGCTTCTTGTTGTCTTTGCCCAGTTTCAGCAGGCCCTGTAGGACAACAAATGGTCGGCGGAGTTGACCTTGAAGAGGGCGTCAACGTTAGACATACCGTCTCGACCAGGGACAATCATGACCAACTTGGGCGCACTTTCTAGCACAGCTGGCACTTTCCTTTTATCATGGAAACGAGCGATCGGGATTCGGATTTTCCTTTTTTCCGCACGCCCCGCGCAGGTTGAGCTAGGCTCACCGCTTTTCAAATTGACGTCAAGCGGGCAAAATTGCTGCGCGATCGAAATGCACCGAACGCGGGTTACGTCATGTGAAATATGCCCCACGACGCCCTTCAATTTTGATTCATTTTTATGTTGATTTTGATTTTATTTTCATTTTTTATTTTCAACTTCAATTCTGAATTTTACTTTTAAATTTGCGGTTTGAAGGATCGTACACGCTGATTCGTACACGGTGCGGCGCAAATTAGTTCATCAGTTATCGATCACTCACATGCAACGAAACAAAGGCCCGAAGAGGAAAAAGCGGGGGGGCTACTCATGCAGGACAAACAATATGTCCCACGCAGGTTCACGCAGGTTCACTCTTACAAAAGCTCACGAGGCGCTTCAACAGTCCTCCAATTATAAAAGTTTCCAATAATCAACATGGTTCTTCAAAACATTGGAATAGCTCAAAAGCCACCTCAGAAGTCAACTGACAACAATTCGGAGCGAAACACTTTTTGCCAACCATGACCAACTTGGAAGGCGAAGAGGAGAGCAGTTTGAACAAACGCTGCTCTCACCTGATCCACCCAGTCCCAGATGAATCCTCCCTGTAGCCCGTGCGTGTTCTCGAACGCCTCCCAGTATTCGTCAATGCTGCCGTTGCTATTGCCCATAGCGTGAGAGTACCTGAAAGTTACGTGGAGTAAACCAAGTGTCCCCTTTCAACATCCCGCAGCGGCTTCGTTTGCTGGCCGTTTGCTCATTGACGTTCCTCAATCAACTTCATTGATAATGCATTGAGATACGGTCACCATCCAACCGATCGCAACAAAGAGATTCACGTATCTCTTTGCGGAAGGGCCACTAGACGATCTTTCGTCCCCTTCACGCGGTCAAAAGAAATCACGGAGGGTCCTTTTCAATAGCTCTTCTTTGCTCTCCTCCCCTTGCCATTCCCGGCTTTACACTCTGTACAGGGTCTCAGTCATCCCCTGCCTGGAGCCCTGAAGCTGTCAAACTTACTTACAGAATCGGACGGGCCAGTTCCAGTCCTCGTCCTGTGCAACTTTCACAACAGACTGCGTTCAAGATCCACATCGCCGACTTCCAGACTCACTCGCACATGATGACGGGCCGCTTCTCGTTCTTGTCCCGTGCGATCTTCACGATGTCGAACACGCGCGTGTACATCGGACACACCACATCGGTCACGGACGTCCGGGCGAAGCCGCCCTCGTAGTGCAGCGGACGGGTCGGGTCCGCCGCTCGGATCCACTCTGCATGAAAAGTCACGGTTTCTGAACGGTTCCAAAATATGAGTAAGTCAGCTGTTGACTCCCAAGACGGATTTAAAGATCCAAAAGGCCTCGAATTACTTGGAAACGCGCTGACAGAGTGGTTTTTTGAGTCGTAGCCTGAATTGGCGATCCGACCCATGGACGCAGACTGAGCCCATATTAACTCGGCGGCTGAATAAGAGCAAGACTCCAGAGCAACTTCGCCACGAAGCATTCGGGCACCACGAGCCACAAGCCACGGGCCACGGGCACACGCCGCCTCCTTTGTCACATCAGGCAAACTCTTTCAGCATCAGTGCCCGCATCCTTTGTCACGTCAGCAAAGTCTCAGAACCAGTTTCGATTGAACACTCTCTTTCAAACAGCCTGCCACCGAGCGTCGGAAACTCGCACAGCCGTTCGTGAAAAGATGCGCCAATAAAGTGACAATAACCTGGTTTACGAAGGAAGCAAACCGTGCGAACGACTTGCTGACGTGGCACTGACCTGCCATGGCATCATGCGCCGGCCCGTACCCCGACTCGTTCCCGAGCGACCACAGCACGATGCTCGCGTGATTCCTATCACGCTGCACCATGCGCGCGCCGCGGTCGACGAACGCGGCCTTCCACTCCGGGAACCAGGTCAGCTGGTTCTTAACCTTGTGCAAACCGGGGTCGAAACCGTGGGTTTCGATGTTGGCCTCATCGACCAAGTACATCCCGAACAGGTCGCAGAGCTCGTACCAGCGGGGGTGCGTCGGGTAGTGGCTGTTGCGGACGGCGTTGATGTTGTTGGCCTTCATCAGGACGATGTCCGCAACCATGTTCTCCTCCACCTGGTGTGAATGCACTCGTCGGAACTGGTAAGGGCGGTCGTTTTCCAGGGCGATCTACCTGCCGGATTGAGTCTCTGGGAACAACTATAAGATGGGGCGAAATACATTTTGAAAGGAAGGGTGTTATGGCCTCTTGTCCGCCGTCTTGTCCCCCAAAACCAGTGCAAAAGCGTTTGCGGATGACATTCAAGGCGCAGTGCATGTGATTGTGCTCTTATCTGTTATGACCAAGCAGTATTCCAGTTGGCCGACGGTATGAATACGCTCGTGAGAGAACCAACCTGCCTCTCGAATCAACGCTCGGCGAACTGGTGTCCTCTACACATGTAGGGATGCGAAGTTTTCTTTTCTAAGCTCCTTTCGAGGGGTCTTACGAACAGCATTCGAGGACCTCGACTCTCCTTGTTCTGCTCGAAGTCCGTTAGCACAAGTTCAACAAGGTACAACAAAACGTACAAGCGGTCAATGGGTTGCACAGTTTTCAGATCTGAAAGACCTTCGTTGACCAAAGCGCAGCCTAGACCCACCATTGCCTTCCCCAGGCTCGGATGGTGCTCGTGACGGTTGACCCCGCGAATCATGACGGGCTTGTTGTTGACCAGGAGCTCCTTCTCTTTGACCTCCACCTTGCGCACGCCCACCCGGCACGCCTCGCACTCGACCACTTTGCCAGAGGCGTCGCGCAGCGTCAGCACGAGCGTGTAGAGGTACGGCTGGAGTGATGAATGGAAACTTTTTCAGAAGGGAACTTGAGCATAAGGGAGCTTGGATGCTTGGGACTGGCTGAGGCGCCGTGACGAAATGTTTTGGCTGGACGCATTGCGCAGCGTCAGCACGAATCTGTAGAGGTACGGTTGGAGGGGAGGAAGGAAAAGGCTTGAGGAGGGAGATGCAAATGAAGCAAGGGACTGAGCCTGAGGGAGTCGGAGATTGGATGCGCAAATTGCCTCAGGCGCCGTGTGAGAAGCGATGGTTCTGCAGGAGGCATCGCGTGGCATCAGCAGGAGACTGTAAGGACACGGCTGAAGAAATTTGATACCGGAGGAAGAGCGACCGCACTTGAGAACGGCTGAGCGTATGAAATTGATAGTGGGATGGGCAGACTGGTTCAAGCCTGATGACTGCCGAAGGCGTCACGCGAACCCAGTCGGTAGTAAATGAAGACGATCCAGGGGCCCCAGAAGGTTCTTCCACCTTGGACTCAGATACGCTCCCAATGTGGAACAATCGGTGGTCGTACTGGAGCACGAAAACGTGCCAAAAGTGTGCACACTGTGAAGCTGTTTATCCACCGTCTCGTTGAATCTATTCCAATCCAATCTTACTTGCAGTCCGTTGCGTTCGGCTCACAAACTTGATGACGGTTCTAATCTCAAACCCCGCACCTTCTGCTTACAAACCTTGAGTCTTCGGCTTCCCTTAAAGCAGAGCCAGAAACTTCTGCACCAAAACTAAGTCTGCTCACTCACCGTCTCCGCAGACCATAGCTTGGGCTGGTTCAGCAGCACCTTGAGCGTCGCATTCGCCGCATGACCGACTGCGTCCTCTGAGGCAGGTCTCTTTTCCAGCCGCGCCTCAATCTCTGGCTTGTGCTTCGTGTCTGCCTCTGCGAAGTCTCTGTACAGAGTCCCCTCCACTGTGTATGCTGCCAGGGCCCTCTTTGCCGGCTCAGACTCTGAGCTCTCCACAGAGACCTTGACTTTGAGCTCGGCGGAGGCTAGGTCTGGGGACAGGTTGGTTTCCACTTGGTACTGGCTGATGCTGACCTGCAACGGACAAGAGGGTTCTTTGAATGCAGGTGGAAAAATCGGTCACCTCAGCTGTTTTTTTCTTTTTCCTATCCAACTGAGCTATAAAGCATGTGTCTAGACTTATCCAGGTCAAAGACGGGAAAATTACCCTTTCCAACAGCTCTCTTTTGTCCATCCAAGGAGTGAACGGAAGACAGGACAGACCACCCGCTGATCATCTACGAAAAAATGATTGATGGTCGGTGAAAACCAGCCTTCATTTACAAATCACCTAGGTGAAAACCAGCTTATCGGAGCCAGGCAGAGTGGACGTTACGATCTGAGGTCGATATGAACGTGCATGAAGCTAACAAAACAAGACGAATGTCGCTGAGACAAATCAACATATGAGACAACTCCACATACATCTTTCGGAGTGTCTCACAAGCTGCAACAGCCTCACGCACCTGCGGCTTTGCATGGAGGAGCACATCCCGGTGGATGCCACTGAGCCACCACATATCCTGATCTTCCAAGTACGATCCGTCGCTCCACCTCATGCACTGCACTGCAATGGTGCACTCCTCGCCGGCCGCTGCAATGTTGCTGATGTCAAACTCAGCAGGTAACCGGCTGTCCTGACTGCACAGCGCAAGAATGAATAGCTTGTGTTTTGTGGTTCAAGCTGGGTGTCCGTGCCAGATGTGAAACGAAATGCGCGGCTTCTGTCTAGGATGCTGTGCGATTCAATTGATGCATAATAGACAACTGTTGAGGGCCAGAGCTGGTGCTGTGTGAAAGGTATACGAATTGTCTCTGATGTCAATTCTGTTCTAAATTGTCGCCATCGCCTGACGAGACACAATCTTATTGGAATTGATAAGAAGACAGGAAGATAGACTGTTCGAGAGTAATGGCAATCTTCGCTTCTGGTGTGACAGTGGAGAAGACATACCTGTAACCAACGAGCGTACCGTTGACGTACACATAGTACGCGGAATCAACACCTTGGAACTCAAGGAACAGCCGGCGACCTGGAGGAACAGAAATATCAGCATGCGATCGTTTGCGTTTTGTGCAGCTTCCACAGCCGTTATGAACTTCCTTAATAATCACTTTCTGACGGCACAGCATTGAATTCAATGCTGAAAGATATATACTTGAGGATATCTTTCAACCTCTTATTCATGGATCATAAACCACTTTTGCTGAAAAGCAGCATGATGACAAATCTAAAAAGCGGCCAGGTCCTATCCCAGCAGGAGCAATGGAACCTATTTTGCAGTAGCTTACCTTCGTACTCCTGAGGAACCTTGAAAGTGTGGCGGTAACATCCGGTGGGGTTTTCAGAAGGGACATAAGGAGGCGTCATGGGGAAAGGGTACACGAAGTTGGTGTAGATAGGCTTGTCGTGGCCATGCATTTGCCAGTTGGAGGGAACTGCACATTGCCAAAGATCGGAGTCTGAGGTCGCCGTGAAAACTCCTTGTACTTCATTCGTGCATTTGGCACGGGTTTGGGCAACCCAATGTGTCTTGTCTGTATCTGAGCACCCAACTCAGCTCAATGGACTTCTGTGCAGCTGGAGTGGTGCAAGGAAGGGAAGGTGGATCAACATCAATGCTCAAACGCTCAGGTGCAGGGCATGAGTCAGCGGATCACAACTGTTCGGCTTGCTACGACTTCAGTAAAGCTTGTGCTGACCTGTTAGATCACCCCAGCTCCCGTCATTGTAGGCAGGCTCGACAAAGTCCTTTGGAACCTCCTCTGGCTTGGGCGCCAAATGAAACTTCCAATCCCCACTCAATGACTGTGTATACGGCAGATCGCTTGTCCACTGCCTGGCACTCTTGAGCGCTTCTGGGAGCGCCTTATCGTCCCACAAGGCCTTTGCTGCATCTTCCTTGCAAGCTTGGGAGCGGTCGAACCAGAACCGCAGAGCAGAGTCTTCATCCGTGTGAGAGTGCAATGGCACATGCGCCTTCCATTTGTTCCACCCAAAGAAGGTGGGGTCCTCCCAGTCCCTCCTCCCGCCTGCCAAGCCGAGGCTCGCCCCAAGTTGCCCAGCCATGGCCGCTTTCATCGCCTCCTTGCTACGAACGGCTTGCTCTCTGACCATCACCTGTTGCACAACTACAGGCTTCAGAACAACCGAAGGCTGTACACAGGATCCCCTCCGGACAGACAGCCTTGGACTTGATAAGTGAGAATGTAGCTCTCTCCGGTTGCCAAAGAAAGGACTCCTGTCAGACTGAATGAGCAATTGCGAAGCTGGTGCTTTGGTGCCTCCATTCACTGACGCTTTGGCTGGATGCACTGATTGCCTGATCCGCCGCAAGCTTGTACCATGTGTCCGCAACGACGTTGATGCCACGCTGATGCACCGATCTGCTAGGATACTTGTGCGTGCACAGGAGGCTTGCATGTTCCCAGAAAGTTCCACAGGGAGGCGGTTGATGCCTCGTAATTGAATGCAATAGAGAAGGAATTCAATTACGTCCTTTTTCCGACATGCGCTGGCCAGAGAACACGAGATAGAGGGAGTGTTGCAAGGTGACCGGGTTTAGGCCACGACCTACCTCAGCAGTTCTGCAGCAGGCAGCCCTGAAGCGCCCGGCCCTCTCCTCGAGTCCTTCTTGCTGGCCAGCCCCCACCTTCCTTTTTTCCGAAGGAAGAAGCCATGATTACGCCTGCCACGTGGTTTCCCCTGAACTTTTTCGAAGTGCTGAGCTGGCACCAGACTGCCTACGTCACCCGACAGTTTGCCACTTGGCCAATTAATGAGAACACAACTTGCCGTGCGGCAATGGTATTTGTTGGGGATGCACGTAAACCGGCACTCCAGCGTTATCAAGGCCGTGGACAGTCACGGATGTGCCAGTTCCCGTCACTGAATGAAGCCTACTCTAGTCCCAGAGAAAGCCAAGGCTTGCGCTGCGAGCTGAGCCTGCGCCGCTGCAGTGCAGCCTGCAGCATGGCATTTGTTCCAGTACGCTTGATCTCAAATACAAACTTGGCGCCTACGAGTGAAGCGAAGGCAGAAAAAAGGAGGAAAAGCAGAGAGGAGTAGACAGTCCTTCAACAACAGGTTCAGGGATATCCTACTCGTTCGTGCTTTCGCAAATGGCCGATGCAGCAAGCATCTGGGATGGATTGCAAGCTGCAAGGCACATAGAAAGAGAACGCGCAGTCATACAGCTGGAGAAGAAACTGGAAAGCACAGGTGAGTTTGGCGTGCCTCGCCTTTGATTGCGCACAGCTGCATTGTATTGTGATTTGACTGCTGATAGGGACAATATTGAACAAACCTCGTTGAAAGACCACAAGAGGTTGACAGTGGCAATTGCCTGGCACAGTCAGCAGTAAACTTTTTGTTTGCTCCAATGTTGAATGTGATACAAGCAAATCCTCAAACAAGAGTCCGGCAGTGATCTTACTGGTGCCTGCTTCGAGTGCAGAAGATGCTGAGAGAACACTTTTACTAGAAGAAGCAGCTGAGAATGTGCGGCGCTTGGTGTCTACGGAATCTTGGGAGGCAAAGCATGGAGGATTCCTAGCAGCTAAGGTACGTCCTCAGGAGGTTTGCGGCCATCAATTGTGAAAAGAAAGTATATTTCAAGTCTAGCGAATGCTGGCCAGTTGCCAAGTTCGATCGAGGCCTTCCAACTTTCATCAGAGGTTGTTTGATGGTTAAGAATGCACTAAACTACCACCTCATTCCAGAACAAAGCTGCTGAAGGGTTGTTGAGCGTCGCATTTGGAAAGCACTTAGCATTCGATTCATGTTGGATGTTACAAAGGATAGGAGTTGAATCATACTTCAGCTGGTATTCTCGGTCTTGATGTGATTGGGGGAGGAAGGAGCTTGCCTTCATATTGACAGATATCAGAGTGACTGCTTCGACTCCTTAACTGTAACACTTGCATCGGCTCTGCAGCTGGTAAGCGTAAACCTCAGACCAACGAGCACTCGTTCGTACTTCCCCAATGTTTTGCAGGTCATCCTGTCCGAGTCCAAAGATGCCGCCTTTGCGGGGGAGATCTTGCAGCTGGCGCTGGATCATCTGGAGGATCCCGAAGCACACGTCAGGTGATCTTGATTGGCATCATCACTGAAGCCCTATGTTGGCCCTTAATACAATCCCTACGCCACTCATTCCATCTGCGCCCTGTTCTTCTCACTAAAGTCAGAGTGTTGGCTTGATTGAAAAGGTATCTGGTATGACTTCACCTTAGCCAGTCTCTCCCTGAAGCATCCAGTCATCCAGAAGAACGTTGAACCATACCTTTCTAAGATTTCTGTTGTCAAATAGCAACACGAGATGACTATCAACACTCCAAGAGTCTAGCAATCTCAGCATCAAACACGAGAAGATTGTCAAGAACTCAAGAACCTTGCCCACTCATTAGACACACGAGATGATCTTCAACTACTCAAGAACCTAGCCCAGTCATCAACAACTCGAGATGATCACCAACAACTCAAGAACCTATTCCAACCATCTGGACTTTGGCCTGCAGGCTGGCGGTGGCAGAGTGCGTCTTTGTGCTTGCGCGAACCGCGGACAACCAGACCTTCTTGACTGTTCGCGAGTAAGAAAACCTCCCTCTGCCAACAAACCTCGGTACTCATGGGCATACTCTTTGCCCTCTTTTGAACGGTGCTGCAAGCTTCTGAGGTCACCTCCAATCTCCATCGACATCTGGTCGCTTTCCGATAAGCAAGGTTACGATCCAGGCCTTCTTGTTCTTAATCGGGCCTTGTCTTGAGAAACCAAGTCAGCACTTGTAAACTGCCCGTCCTTAGCGGACGAACTTGGTTATCATCTGGATATCGTGCAACCGTTCGGATTGTCCCTTGCTCCCCGACCTGTGTTTTTAAATTGGTCTTCAACGAACCACCTGCTCCGTTCGTCCTACAGCCCCATAATGCAGAGCATCGAAGACAACTACGAGCGTGAAGCAGCTTCAAACGACGCGAGCCCTGAAGATGACGTCAGCGGGGACGTTCCCAGCCCGACCGCTAATCCCCGAGCAAACCCAGCGCAGAGCGGAGTGCGGAGCATGTATCGGCCGCACTCCTGGGCCCGGAAAGCGGAGCTGGCGGTGAGTTTGGCACTCTCACATCGTGCATGCCGTCTAAGAGCGATCAAGGTACGCAACAGCATGTCTCCTGCCAAGATCGTAGACGTCCCAACAAGACGAATGAAATCTCTATGTGTTCGAGGCGTTCTTAGCATTTCCAGCTGGCGGTAACTTTCTAGCAGCTGCTTTGATTAAAGAAGCCACTGTAGCCCTATAGGCTCCTCGAACTTTCTTCCGTCGTCAGACTATGCTGAAAACGGTTTGGAGGGACGAGAGAAGCGAAACCGGATGTCTGACGAATCGGGCACACTTAATCTGACGATCGATCGATCACTCTCCCATCTTGAAGGAAGGAGTTGGGTCTCGAGCTAAAAAAAGGACAGTGGACACTCAATGGACAGGGAAACGCTAGCTCAATCATATACTGACAAGCGAGATCCTTGCGGCCTTCGTAGGCGAACAGAAGCCTTTGGAAGAGATTGCGTCCGGACAGATTTACTACCTCTCAGAGGAGAAGGACAATAGTCTGCCTGTTCTTTTGTTCCTGCTTTGGCTTTGCTCCTTCTTCGAAGTCAACCAGTTTGATTACACAATCCTGCGTTTTCCCCCAGGCAACCATGGGCAGCTTGCAGCGCCTCGAAACCTCCTTCAAAACGCTGCAACGGCTGCTCGAAGGCCGGGCTGAGGGGCCCGCCGCTCCGCCGGACCCAGGAATCCCTCTCGTCGACGCGCGAATGTGGGCGGCTATCAAGCGGGCGTTGACGCACAAGAATCGTTTCGTGCGTGAGACGGGGTTCTACACGCTGCGGGCGCTGTTCGGGGGGTCCCTTGGGGAAAAAGTGCAAGAGTGAGTTTCAATACATCCCCTTCAAAAAGTGGTTCAAATGGCGTTCAGAAGATGGTCTAACGGCTGGAGTCCTAGGCACGAACCATGCTTTACCGTCGCTCGCCTTCGCTTCTGCTGAAGCGTCCTCTCATTTCTGTTCCTTTCTGTATTTGTTCTTTCCTTCCTTTTGTTTCAGTGGGTTCGTCCGTCCAGGCCAAAACAGCTTGCTTGTCGAAGAAACATTTTAACAGGTCGTTCGTGAAACATTCATTGTTTGGCAGTGGGGCTTGTACGGCCGACCTTCGCCACTCCGTGTCCCAACCGTACTGTCCCGTCGGTTTATTATGTTCGCAGGGCTGAGGATGTCTACGACGTCAGTCAGGTCCTGCCGAAAACCTTCCTTTCGTGGTGCCGCCCCAGTGACGGCGTTTGTTTGGAACGTCCCCGAAACGGGCGTCAATGTCGTCAGAACCCGCTGACGTAAGCATTTGTTCTGACATGTGCAGCGGCGCTGCGATTGCGGACATGCTGGCGGCCGGGCTAGGGGACAATTGGAGCCAGGTTAGATACGGTGAGCGGTCATTGTGGCAGTTCCTTTATCCCCTAAGGTTCATAGGTGGAGGGACGGGTAGGGTTTGCTTTGGAGGGTAGGGTGGGTAGGGGTGCGAAGCACCTAAGTTTTTGGATCAAGGATTTTAGAGGCGGTGCCCACGGCTTTTTCATATTTGGAGACAAGCTCCTTGGAAGACAAGGGACTTGCCACTATTGAGCGGTCGAGAGCTGCTTGCCGAACGGGGCTCGGACGGTTCCATCCTGAAGTACATTTACAGGACGATCTCCGTCCTTACACAAAGAGAAAGCCGTAAGTCAGCTGTGCTTTTATCCTCTGTCAATCTCGTCGCTGGAGTCCTGTCTTGAATCTGGCCTCCTTCAACGGATTGACCTGTGAGCCTTCTCGACTGCTTCACCCGAGGGAATGTCGTCAGAGACCATCTTCATCTCTGGAAGTGAAGAGAATTTGGTGCGTGCATCGGGCATACGCCATGTGGGAATCATGTTCAGCTACATTTGTGAGAATCTTTCTCTTCGAAGATCACTCATCTTTCAATTCTCACAAAGTCCGCCTACCACAGAAACGTCATTCTCATGCTGACGTCACTCTTTTGTCGATGCTCGCAGCTGCTTCCGTGGCCACTCGTGCGTTCGTCGTTGCGGCTACGGCTGACGCTCAGCGCTTGTACGGCATGCTTCTGCCGCCCATGTGAGCCTTCCGCCGAATGTTTCTTGGAATGTTTCTTCTACTTGAAATCATGCTATTCACTTCACTCCTTGTTCTGCTCGATCTTGTGAAAGAATGGTACCTGAAAGGTGAATCGACGTCGCAGAAATGGTGTTGCTCAGACGTGGTATTGAAAATTGCATTCCGGAGGAATGGCTTTTCGGGCCAGAATCAGCCTTTGAAAGAAGACTGAAATTGTGCATTTGGACTGACTAGTTAGTCGGCCCCTTCGTTCAACCACCTGTTTCGAGTCCCCAAAAACTCATGCAAAAGAGGGCAAACAGTTAACAATCCAGGAAAAAAGTCAAGACGTACGAACAGCAGGAAAGGCAAGCAGAGGCGAGGGGGGTAGAGCTCTCTAACCTTCTGAAGTCGTCGCCAAGCCTGCCTCAACCTCACCCCGCCGCTCAACCGGACAGTCCTCAGGTCCTTGAGATTGGCTTTGCGCAACTACGACAGTCAATCCCTCCGTCCATGTTCCTCTTCCAAGCCCCTGGAAGCCCATTTTAGAAGCTCGCAGGACGGGAGAAGAACCCAGAGCAATCCGCAAAGAAAATGTCAAGGCCAGGGTTGAACTATGAAACTCTCTTAACCCTATCGTCAACCATGCCTAATCCCCTTAATACGAACCCTACTTAACCCCATCGTCAACCCTGCCTAATTCCCTTAACCCGATGCTTAACCGGACCGTCCGCAGGTGCCTTAACCGCCACTACATCGCGGAGGGCGTCCGCATCTTCTCCCAGGAGACGTGGAAACTAGCGATGGGCACTAACGGGCGCGACGCGCTCGCGAGGATCGCGCCGGAAACCGCAGCCTACTACGTCCAGCAGTGTTCGTCAAGCAATTACGCGGTTAGAGAGGCGGCGTGCCATTGCATGGGGGAAATGGCGGCAAAAGTGGATCCCGCGCGCGTCGCCCCGCAGGTCGGGGGAATGCTCCGGGCGCTTCTGCCGGCGATGGGCGATGTGAATTGGCCCGTGAGGGAGGCAGCGTGCGCAGGTGGGCCTTGGCGTATCTACACTCCGGAAATGACACGTGCTTTCTGTTGGGTTTACACTTCCGGAAGTGACACGTGCTTTCTGCTGGATTTACACTTCCGGAGATGACACGTGCTTTCTGTTGGGTTTACACTTTCGGAAATGGCACGTGCTTTCTGTTGGGCTTACACTCTGGAATTAACACGTGCTTTGTTGGAATGTCGGGAACAAGCACTCTGCAACCTCTGTTTTGCATCTTGAAAGGTACAGATTCGCCCTCTTTCACAAGGTTGTACGTTCCAAAGGCATGAGCACCACGGTTAGCAGTTACCCGATGACAACATTCTAAAGATGCTTGAAAGGTCGCAGACCGAAACGCTTCCGACCCGTCTGACTCGTCTGAACCCTGACTGAACGGAAGGAGGATGAGAACAGGGACTTCCGGCGTACTCCGTAGAAACCCCATTCCTTATGACCCCTTTGTTCGACGGTTATTCTAGTAAGGTCAATCTACCCAGACCGTCGATTCTAGGGGGTATGGCTAAGAGGGGTCTCGTACCTCGGCTGGGGAGTCCACGGTCTCCCTCCTTCCGTTCTAACAATCTGGGGCTCGTGGTCCTCGAAGTTTTATCTCAGCAAGCCTAACACAAGCTCGCCGTATGATAAGTGCGATTTTCGCCGCCCCAATGCCAAATTCTGCATCCACTCCTTGTGCAGCATCCGGCCAGTGCGTGGTTACTTTTCCTGACGTTTCACGTGCCTCGCGCGACCAGCTCCTGTCCACGTGGCTCTCGCTTCTGAGAGACAGTATCCCCAAGCGCGCTTGCTGCTCGGATTGTTGCTGCTGTTATTCCGCTGATGGGCACTTCTTGACAGTGAATCCAGTACGAACAAAATCGAAACAGCTCAAGAATAGCCAAGATTGGGGGTTGCTAGCTCATTCGGATTCCCCGTACTTGGGACAGAGGTTCGCCGCCAAATCAGGTCATGCTTCACTTTTTGGAAAGCCTTCCAAAACGCACACCCTGACGTCATCGAAGTGCCGGTGTCCATGTTCCTAGCTCGAGAAGTACGGGTATTTTAAGGCTGGCATGTCGAGGCCTCGATGAAACTTCCGGTGAAAAAGCGCCCCTTCGTTTGTTGCCCCTTTGTCCTTGACCCCCTTCAAGGCATTCCCTCGGTGCGCGAGAGTGCCGCGGTCGCTGTCGGATGCGCCACCACCGCGTACAAGGACGAGATCGCGCCGCAGGTCCGTCTTCCGGTCCCAATTAAAGGATTGCTTCGTGTTACAAAATCGCTTCAGAGTACCCTCTTAGAAGTGCTTCAAAGTTGCCTTACGAGTTGCTTCAAAACCGCTCCAGAATCGTCTTAGAGTTGCCTCAAGGTTGTCTTGCGAGTTGCTTCGCAATTGGCTAGAGTTGCTGGGAACGTTGATCTTCATTTGAGCACAGCGCTGCATTCTTTGGCTGCTTTATGCATCGAACGAGTTTCGTGATTGACAACAGAAAGTGTTTCGGGATTCATGCGTGTCTTCGCTTCAGGGGCACTCTCGGTCGGAAGGTCAGCGGGTGCGCTGCTGGTTCGCACGTCGCGAGAGCGCTTTTGCTGATGTTCAGTGCTTTAAACGGACAGGAACCTGACCGTTTGAGACATTTCAAGAAGGAGACCTGCGTCGATCGACACCTCGATGCAGAATCAATGTTGACAGCGCTTCTCGTCTGGGATTAAGGGGATCTCCATACCTGTCTTTGCCTTGCTCGGCAACGGCGCTCTGCAAGCGTCGGCTTTACTCCGCCTTGAGCAAGCCATGCGTCGCGTTTGACTACAATCTTCGCTCACTGATCTGCACGGCTTATCACTGAACATAACACGCCCGTCAACTGCAGGTGCTCGCCGAGCTGCGGACGCTGCTCTCCCAGGCCAAACAACAGCCGTCCGGAGGTGTACAAAACGACGCGAACGGAAGCAGAAAACCGGACAGGTAAGTTACACCGACACGGCAAGAATCCGTGTTGCGTATTCTTCGTTGCGGGCCACTAATGTGGTACCCGCGAACATATGGCGCTTTGAATTTGAAGCGGGGCCGAATCGGGGCCGAGCCGGAGGTTCCGCTACGGAAAAGTGGCGGAAGAACCGGACCCGAGGCCCCAGTTCAAGGCCGATTCGTAGAGAACCGATCTGATTCCTACGGATTGGAGCCGTGTCTCACGAACCAGTTCCTGTTCTCTTTAGAACAGGGGCCTGGGTCCGTTTGCTTTTCCGGAGCGGAACTCCCCATCCGGCTCCGGTTCGAAGCCAAAGCGCCCTCCGAAAAGAACAACCGATTTCAGGTCGCAGATCACGACATGTTCGAAAACTGCCCTGGGGCCCTGCGAAGAGGACTCGGAACGGGTAGCACGGGTAGGATTTGTGATGGAAAAGTGATGCATCACAAGACCATCTTGTGACTCCCGCCATCGTCGGTTCTTTGTCATCCACTTTCGGGTGTTGTTTGCGGTCAACGCTTGCCTCCTGGTCACAACGCTCTTCCTTTCTTCATTTTTGTCGTATTTCCGTTTCTTCATTTCTTCGTTTCAATCAGGCAACATGTCAACCGAACGTCTCTAGAGTTTTTGGCTGCTAAGGTATGGGCCTTGCAAGTAGATGAGAACGTAGTCCTTGTTTGACCTTTTCAGCAGTCTTCTTATTACTATCAGGTTTCGCTCGTCACAGAAGTTATAGTATTAATTGATTTCGATTCACAGCAACGCTCTTGTCTCCTTTGCACAGCGCCGCTCACTCCACCAACGGAAGCGCCGACCCTCCGAATGCCACGTGTCCGAATCTGGACGGCGAGGCCGAGTGTCCGCAGCCCGTCCGGAACGGCGAGCCCTGGGAGGCGTCCGAAGGGGGCATCTACCTGCTGCGGGAACTGTCGGCAGTGCTTCCGGAGAAAGTGCCGTCGTTCCTCCCTCTTCTAGCAGAGCTCGTGAGTCTACTTTTTGGTCTTGGTCTTTTTTCTCAGTTGCAAATTGTCCTCCAGAGAGTCAGCCTCTCAAAAAGTGAGAGCGCGTTTTTAGTTAGGCGAACCGGCTGCAGAATCTGTCGGCGGTACTTCTGAAGAAAGTGTCGCGTTCCTCCCCATTCTAGCAGAGCTCGTAAGCGGACGCGCTTCAAATTCGTCATAAACAACTATTCTTTGGAAACCCTTGAATGCACTGTCAATTTGATTCGCCTCTCGGTGCACGCGGGACTCTATTTAGGAATAGTCTGACCCCCTTCGCAAGAGCGGAAGCATACGAGATTTTCAACATGCGTATTGGCCGGTCAAGAGCCGGCCCCTTGAATTAATCGGCGTTCTCCTTCTGAGCTTCTGAGAAGCTTAGAGGGAGGAGAGACTGGAGGGGCATCAAACTTGGACTTTGCGATTCTCACTGAGTGTGTGCCCTCGTACAGGGCCATTGCACGGGCTTCGAGCGGTTTCCAGACCTGCTGGATACGCTGTGGAAGCAACTACCGGTCATAGCCAAGGTGGGACTTGCTAGATCCGATAAGATCAGAAATCCCACAAACTTGCTTTCCAGAAGTGCGCCTCCTTATTTCTGGAGTCATATGAAGCCATAGCTCGAAAACCGCAACAGTGTCATGCTTAAGAAGGATCACTTGAGGCTCATTTGCTCCAAGAAAAGTGGACAGCGTGCCGGTTGCTTCCCCGTTTTCGTACCTCTGACTACGTCAGTTGCTTGGTCTCTATTTTAGGGAGGGTCTCCGCGTCCACCGCCAGATCTGCTTTGTGAATGTGCTGCCAGCGATTCAGATGCTTATACTTTACCCTTTGTCTGCGCCTGCAGAACATGGGCAAGAAACGGTTCAAGGCGTACCTGGAACTTTTCCTTGACCCGCTCTTCTGGGCGCTGACGTGTCGCCAGGCAAGCTCCGAGCCTCATCCTTCCAATTGAGTGTCGTAGCCTTCTCTTTATTCCGTTTCCTTGGTGCGTTGGCTTCCCCACGTCTTCTTCCTTTTCCCTATTCTTGTCCGTGCGTGCTCTTTCCTCTCGTCTCCCGCTGATTTTCCTTCCTTCTTCAACGATCCTTTTCGTCTGTGTGCCACCTATCAAGGCTGCCGACATGCCCCTCTCTGATTGATCTCCACAAGGTCAGCCGCCTTGGGCCACACGGTGTCAAGGTTACCGCTCGACAGACTCTGTTCGGCGCCGGGGCAGTGCCTAAAAGGGCACCGATGGACCCCTTCTTATCTGAGCGCTGGTCCTTTCTAGTCTTCTTATGCACGCCTCATCTCCTTCTCCGGTCTGCCCATATTCGCTCACTCTCTTCTCGCCTCACATGCGGCCCCTTTTCTTGCTACCGCTGACGTCACCACCTCCTTCCGGCGCGCAGCGCTTGGTGGAAAGCGCGGCCGCTTATTGCATCACCGAGTTCGGGAGCTCAGAGGCCCCAAAATTTGATCGCTGATGACGTCATCGTCCTTTCCGATCCACAGCGCTTGGTGAAGAGCACAGCCGGACATTGTGTCAGCGAGTTGCAGGAGCTCATCGGCCCCAGAATCTGATTGCGTCTGACGCATCATTCTTTCTGATCTGCAGCGCTTGGTGGAGAGCGCGGCCGGGTATTGCGTCAGCGGGTTGCAGGAGCTCATAGGCCCAGCAATATGGTCGTTGCTGACGTCATCGTCCTTTCCGATCTGCAGCGCTTGGTGGAGAGCGCGGCCGGGTATTGCGTCAGCGAGTTGCAGGAGCTCATCGGCCCCACGATCTTCCGCGCCCGCTTAGACGATCACCAGCGGGCGGCCCTCGATTCTAGCCCGTTCGTGGGCCCGCCCGCCCTCCAAGCGCAGTCCGCCGCCGTCAATAGGACAATCATAAAGTCGGCGACTTTAGGCTCGTCGGGGCTGCAGTTCGGAGCGCCGATCATGCTGGCCCCCAGTACGCGACCAGAGTAGAGGGTATTCGAGGTTACAGCAATCGCTGATCAATTCCGGCTTTAGTTTTTCCAAAAAGATCGAGCGGGTCATTCAAGAGTCCAAACATATCTTGTGGCAGTTCTGGTCATCAAACCGCAGGCTACACGTCTTTGTGCGTGATCTTTGCTTGAAGCATATGCCAATTTGGCACCGGGCCTGGGCTAAATCTGCAAACCCCAAAGGCTGCACTGGTCATGCACTGAGAGGACGTACGGTCACGCTCAAGGCCGGCAATGTTGAGTACTAAGCCGGTGATCGAATGTAACACGAAGTATACGTGTCACTGAAAGCATCGATGCACGGCCTGCATGAACTGCGCACAGGCTTCGGATGCTATATTTGATTGGAACTCGCTTACGCAGTCCGGTTTGGCCAACATCATTGTTGGAACCGCGTCAGTCTTCACTGAACGTGTTGCTGGGATCGACGTCACACGTGGTATACCATCTTAAGCTTGGGCCCGGCGGCAGCAGTGACTGAGATCACTACTAGCTCATGCATGGATCATGCTAGGCTAACTTGAATGTGCATGCACGTATTCGGATGCCGTGACTGCATTCACTATGATCGATGTATTTACGATTTCAATAGAATCCGTTGTGCACCGCGGCTTGCGATTTCACGCTTTTCAGTCCGGGCCGCCTACTATGCCAGCCAATCGCAATCTCGCGAGGCGGCTTTGGTACTGATGCGATAATCCCGCGCCGGTGTATTTGGAAACATATCTGGCACTGATGCACAAGTTAGATCGGACGAGTCACGTACATGTCCGATGATTCACATGGGACATGCCAGGCAATCAGGCTGGTCGGCTAAGTTCGACGACTAAATAACAAGGATCATTGCAACGGCTTATAGTACAAACCGGCACAAGGCGGCCGTCCCCGCGTGCCAGGTCCGACAGACTAGCATGGCCCGCATGTCCAAAATCGAGCGTCCGAATAATCAACAACACTCAGCAGCATAATCTTCTCCGGACCCGGCCCGGCCCGGGGAGTCTTGTCTAACACTGAGCAGCGCTAAGTAGGGGAAGACATAATGATAGTCACAGTTGCTCGAACCTGTCAGGGAATTCACTCGACCAGACCTTTCCGTTCTGACATCAGCGCCTGAATGGAAAGACAAACTTCAGGTGTACCTACCGCACAACCTTCACCTTATGGACAAAGGTTCCTTGACGTAAGTACTTGGCCATCAATAACCGTCTCCCCAAGCATCCGCTCTTAGCTGGTGCGTCAAACTCCTCTTCGATTTCCGCTCCGCTTCCAGCCGCCTCTCGTCTGACGGATTGCTCATGGCCCTGACCGCCTTCTTGACGTTCTTGTCGTCGAGCGCACTGGCGATGAGTCGCCGAGCAGCCCGCGCCGTGGTTTTGGGCCGAGGAAGCGGTGGTTGCAGCTCTGCCATTGACCAGAACTTTTGTCAGCGGGACATGAAGAAGCAAAAGTACAGGCCAAAAATTGTCGCGAGCGGTTGGTTTTAATCGTCTAAGGACCAGACGCGTGATAAGAGGCAACTTATACAGGCCGGATGCTAACAAAACGAACAAAAACCCTCCAGGAATGAGCTAAGTTTTCGTACTCAGAACCTTCAGGGATGTTTTCTGGAAAAGCTGCGCAGCCCACTTGCGATCCCCGTTCTGTCTAACATAGAAAATGTATCAAAAAAAAGCTATTGGGCAGACGCTTTTTCGCCGCCCATCCTAATATTTCCGGAAAAGGGCCGGTCAAGTTCCTCACAGTCCAGTCGGACTACAAGAACAGCGTCGGGAAAGTACCACTTAAGCAGAACCAGTACGTACCTTCCGCAGGCAACCGTAGCGCCGAGAGGCTCGCCTCCGCAAATGGCCGCAGCTTGAACTTACTATCGTTTATGGAGTCTAGGGCGGCCCGTGCTGCAAAGAGATGAGGGAAGTCTAGATCGATGACTAACGAAGTGCTCGACCCGAGGAGCGGGGAAGGGTTTTCAGTCGAATTTCCTTTTGCTCTCCTTTCTTCTTCTCGGATGGTCTTACGAAAATGAACGCGAGCTCAACCGCTGCCTCACTTAAGCGCGCAGAACAAACTGAACCTCACCCACTAAGATTACAAGGAGAGTTCGCATGTTGAGTTGGCAAACTCTGACGGCAGTCTTTAATGCGACAACAACACCTGGTCGTTCCACCAAACCTCGCGTGTAACGGCAGGCCGAACTCAGACGAGCTATGGGGGCTCATCGGTGTTCCCAAACTCCTGAAAGATCCTTCAAATCACATCCAGAGTTCAAAACCCCTTTCCGATAGCTTTTCAAAAGGGTAATGCGCACCTGCTGAAGGCCGCCGAAACACCGCCACCGCGTGCGTGTCGTCCACCCACTTGATCGTGACGCCCTCTTCCCTATACCCCCAGAACAGCGTCTCCAAATCCATCGTTTTCACGCTAGGTGCAAACCCATACACTTCAATCACATGGTCCATCCCGCTCGTGCTCGCCAGGGGGGGTCGGTCCGCTGCCCAATCTTCGGACGTGTCTGCTCTGCCGGACCCCCCGGGAACAGGTAAATCGGACTCGTCGGGATATCGAACACTGTCGGACGCTCCCCCGGCGCTTTCGGATCGGAGCCAGATTTCTGCCTCGTCCGCTTTCGACGCGCTGCGCGTTTCTCTTTCGCCCCAGTTATCTGGCCCTTCGGACTCCCCACGATCGCTGTACAAGGAACCTCCCCCGAAGCGGACGGCGCCACGGCCCCTCGGTTTGGAGCCACTGCTTTTGGGGGGCTGAGATGTGCTCATGCCCCCAAAGTCGTTATCTTCCACCAGACTCTTTCTATCATTCCGGCTAGCAGGAGGAGGTGTTGATAAATCCTCCTCCCAGTCCCGAGTCTCCCAGTCTGCAGCGTCCCCTTCTTCTGAGGAATGCGGTTCGGCGCCGTTTGAAGCTACCCTTGAGTTGTCTTCTGTTACGGAGAGAATCTCTAGTCGCTTGGCGACGTCATGGTTGGGTCTGTGAGAACAGGATTGGAGGAACTCAAGAGAGGCTTGAACATGTCTCACCATTCTGATGGGATGGTGGTCGCAGAAGTTGTTTGCTACTCCAACATTCAACTCACAATCTCAGCAGTTTACCACAGGAGGCAAGGTGAGAAAGTTCAGGAAGGCGGGCTCAGCCAGCTCTTCCAATATCAAACAATAAGAAGATACATGGATTACTTGAGGATTATTCCTTCTGCTTCGTGAGTATCAAAGCTGGAGCTATGGAACTTTTCAATGTAATACTTCGGTACTTGACTTATCGAAGCTCGTGAAGACAAAGAGACTGGACTTTGACCCATTTTTGCAGTTGCTGATTTTTAACCACCATCAACAAAGAGAAGGAAGTGGAAGGCACACCCACACGGCATTACAAACAAAGCGTCGCAGCGTGATCGCACGCATCACCGCCACATGTAAGCTGATCAAAGTCAAACAAAACCGCTCCCCTGCGCCTGACACACAGCAAAATCGCACCGCTCACCTCGGCACAGGTGTCTCCTCCACTTTGTGCCTAATCGCCAGTGCTCTCTGGAGCAGTGGGTCTGCTTTCAGGGTCAGTCCCTGCTTGCAATAGAGCAATCCAAGGTCGTTCAGAGCTGCTGCAAGGCCCAGGCTTTCTTCCCCTCTGCTTTCTGCATCTTTGATCACACTAAGGAGGAGCGTCTCCGCCTCCGCCTGGTTGCCCTCACTGACCTGGGTGTCTACCCTGTCTGACCAATTGGCCAGGCTTTTCGAAACCATTCTGTCCAACCAGGTCACTCACCTTCAAATGGTATGCCTTCAAGCGTCCATCTCGCAAGATTAGAATTATATGCACTTGGCAGGACGCTTTGTATGCGTCTACCTGCCTAATTACCTTCAGAGGGTAAACTCGATCATGTGCTATTAGGGAAGGGACACTTTGAAGCTGTACCCCCCGTATTAATTATGGAGCCCTTTCAGCCTGATGACCTTAGTCCCCCCCCCTTCCTGACGGGCCCCGCTGGCGCGGGCCCCAAGCCCCCCCCCTTCCCTGCTCAGCTTTCGAGGGTCTCCGGTCCCCGCCCCATGCAAGGCTCAGTTTTTTTTCCGAAGTTTTGCAAACCGGAGTACATTTACAAAGTTTACAAGCTGTATTCTGTGTATTTTGGGGCTGACTTCGAGCTACGTTCAACCTGAAGGGCATATTTGGACCAATCACTGGATTATTTGGAGGAAAATCCCCTAAAAATCACACCCATATCACCCCTTGAACCCCCGCGGAACTCTCAGGGTCTACAAGGTTCCCCCCCCATGTGGCCTTGGGCTTCCTTCGGTGGTAGTAGGTCCCCTTCTACCACCCAGTAGCGGCTCTCGGTCCTTGGTACCCCCCCCATAACAGTTAATACGGGGGGTACAGCTTCAAAGTGTCCCTTCCCTTACATACATAAGTGCTGGCTGCTTTTCCGGGAGGAGAACCAAGACTCAGAGCAGACGCGCCCCCTCTTCGATGATCCCCTGAGGAGACGGGGCCGCGTTGCGGTCGATGCTTCTCATCGACGGCTGGAAAGATTCAAAGCAGATTGCTTTCCTTTCAGGGGGGCTGCAGTGCGTCAAAGTGACAGCTCCCCAAATGTTCACAAGCGGCTTTCAAAGTTTCATTGTCGAGAGCAGAAACTGAGAAAGCAAGCTGGTCCAGTTGCCCAGTTTCTGTTTGCAAGGCGCCCTGCGTAAAGCTGATTTTGAGCTTGCAAATTTCTCAAGGGCCACATTGTACCAGGTACATAAGAAGATTCACAGCATTGCCGATTGCTGTTGAGCACACCCAGAGGAGGCGCCAACTCGACAACCTTCGGAAAGATGGCTGCAGCCAGCAAACATACCACCACCTTGCAATTGCAAAATTTAACGTCTATTTTGCAGAACATGCAATTAGAAGAAGCCTGTAAAGTTTTACAGCCGGGAACTCTGAGACAGCATGGTGCATTTGGTTCTAGCAGGGCGCCAAGCAGGAAAAGGGTCCGGTGTAAGCCTATGATGCCGCTGAGGGACGCAGCCTCTTCCTTGAACCTACTTATCAACAGCCAGTTCTGTCAATCAGCGGTCCACATTGGCCAGTTTTCAAGTTCATCAGGAGTGCATTCAGTGGGGCGAAGGACGAGCAGTAACGTAAGAGCTGTGAAGAAAAGCAGCCAAACAACTGCTAGCAAAGACGATGAGTGGGACCCGGACTTTGTGGAGGCAATGAATCAGGTATGCTAGGGAAAGTACATTTAAGCAGAACAAGGTTCTTTTTTGCACCGGAACACATGCACATTTGGCTTTCAAGATTCCCCATCCACATTCCCTTTGGATGAGACCTGAACGTCCTTGTCAACACTCTGCCCACTGGATTAATGTGTGGTAGTTGTGACCGATCGCCTCAAATTGCACCGCAATGCTTAGGGCCACCAAGAATCTACAACCCTGCTGCTTTTAAACGACAGAAACAGGCAAAACAATTGCTCTAAGATACGATTTTGAGGGGCTTTGACTGTTCCTGGTGCATCTCCATTGTTCAGAAAGAATCTATGATAGTGGCTGATAGGAAACCCCAGCGAATGTGAATTTTGAATTCCACATCTTGGATGTGTTAAGGGTATTCTTCAGCAGGGCCCTGGCGCCCCATGTAAATCTCTGACGTCGCTAGTTCCCTGACATGCAGCTCTGCAATAAGGCCGTCCGAGTCATGCTGTCTGAGGACCTCCAACTCGTCAACCAATTGCGGACGGTAAGCAAAGGTCGAACGCATGAGAAAAACGAGTGGTCTGTATGTTCCAGACCTCAAATGATGTAGATTCTACTTGTGGACTTATCGTCAGGTTGAAGTAGAGGGACCATTCTCGCCGCCTAGACCAACTGCCTCCTTGAATCAATAGCACCTTTTCAGTGTTTGTCTTGTCTTGCAGCTTGAGCCAGGGGCTAGTCGATTGTGGGAAAGCTGTGGACCTGCCTTTGACGACCACAGGAGTGTGCATCCTGTGCTGACACTTTTGAGAGCGCCGCATAAGCCTTGCTTGGTCGGCATAAATGCTCCCATTGATCACTGACCTCTTTGTGTCACCGCTTTCACAACCACTGCTACTCCCAATAGATCATGTCATTAACGAGTCTCGAAAACAATGGACTGCTCGTTAGATGATCGTCAACCAGTGTGCTGTCAAGTGGCATGCACGTGTGTTCGTAGTGGTCAAGAAGTAAAGGTTGTGTCACCTTGCAGGAGCTGGACAACACAGGAGCCACTCTTGTGGAGCATGGGGAGATTGACGCAGCACGCTTCATACTGGTGGTGCAAGAGATGCTGGATCACAAGGTGTGTACGCACTTCTCGTATCCTAACAGTGCTTCTTCACGCCCATCGTATGTATGCTGTTTCCTCTCCAGCCTTGTTTCCTTCTCTTTACCTCGTCTGCTGTGTCGCCCATCTTTCAGATTCTTCCATGACCTTGTTTCGGAAGGGCGAAAACAAGGTCTTTCATGGCGGCAGCGGGAACCTGTCGTTGGTCTATTCAGCAAATCTCTTGCACAAGGTGTGCCCCTACTCTTCTGAAAATCAAGGCTTTCAGATCACGAACTCTCGGGGCATGCTATTCTCTGCATCAGAAAATTCTAGTAGCATTTCACTTGCAAGACCCCCAGGAAAGTACTTCGTTCAGAAGTTAAGGGGAGCCCAGCTCGTTGATAGTGAAGACGTCAAACCTCATCTTTGGCTCGGCTGCCTCGGCATGTACTGCATAGTTGCGCTTCATGCGATACTTCTAGTCAGGAAAGCACGATCATTGCAATTCCTGCGCCATTCATCTCGGTCGATTGCAGGGTGCAACCCCGTGACCTCTTGGAACCGAAAGAATTGTAGACTTCATGGTCCGTTTACTGGTTGAGCACTGACATATGGGGACTTTTGTAAGGCTGCCTGATGGTCGAGCTGACCTGAAGGCGGCACCCGGCCGCAACTTGAAACGTTTTCGTGAACCAGGCGTTCCTCATTCAACGATGTGCAGGCATACTGTTGACCTTGTGAAGTGGTTTTCTTGCTCGTAAGCTTGGTGCGACTCCGTCGGTAGACACGCCGACCGCCGTTTTCAATCAGAGCGCGTCTCGTTCATGCAGCTTGCACCCGAGAGGAAGTTGTTGAAAGGGCGCTTTGTGGAGGCGTTCGAAAAGATTTTTGGCCTCGTTGAGGACGCCGGATGGTCGCTACAGCCCCCAGAAGAAGAGGGCCAGGAAGGAGAGGTATGCCCCACCTTTCGTTCTTTTTCAAATACAATTATGGGTCCGGAGATTTTTTTGGACTATTAGGTTTGGCTGGACATACATGGATGCGTTTTTGGGCTGCAGCGCGAGTTGGGTGACGTTCTTGTGTGATCGTTTTGCTCATAGTAGGACCGAAGGACAGTATTTCACATCGCTGGGGCAGCCTTTGGTGCAACGCAAAAATGCAACAAATCAGTCGACTCGAATACGATTTTGCATCTAACAAGCTTGTGACACTTTCTTGCAGATCCTTGTAGAAGGTAACGACCACACAGATGCCGAGCCTCCTGTAGCTCCTAAGAAAGTCAGCGAACCATACAATCGCACCTTTCAAGCTCAAGATCAATTTGTTTGATCCACTGTAGGCGGTTCGAAGCACTATCGCCCGTTTGCTCTCCGGCTCAGCCTTGCATTTTCTTCCCTTTTCTGATATCATTGAATGCCACCAAGTGCCGGAGGATGCAGAACATGCTCTATGAGGCGCCACCCAAATACGCAATGCTCCTACAAGCAGGTGCGTTGATGTCCCTTGACGTAGGCAAGAAACTCTGTTCGATGCTTCATGCTCAGGATGCTTCATGATTGGCACCAAAAACACGTTGGAGGAGCTATAAGATTGCAGGTCATATATCCGTGAAAGATGTATATCAATCATGGCGCGCGATATATGGGCACGTGGAACCCACCTTAAGGAAACTAGGAAAGAGGGCTCAGCTGCCGCTGAAGCCACGCGTGGTGCTGTGGACCAGATGCTAGTTCGAACCTGTAGGCTGTGACGTTCAATTTTATGTGCACCTCAGGCAAGGCTAGCTGGTGGGTAGCAGGGGCCATGGGGCCCCCAAACTTGAAAGCTGACCTCACCGAGGCTGCATACTCCAATGCGACGCGTCACGATGTGACCTGCACTCTCGAATTGCGGCTGAAGTTGTAGCAATTAATGCGTCATACATTGCGGCGTCTTGCCCCGGCCGCGGTTTCTTTGGAGAAGGACCGATCACTTTGTACACCATTCGCAGGGCATTCGCGTCCCGGGGATCGGACGTTGACTTTCTTGACCCCTGGACGCCGGACGGTGCTCGGTTTGACACATGTGAAAACTACAAATTGTTCGGATGTTGACCGGTACCGGTACTGCATGGTGATACCTATGTAGGTGGGTCCTATTACCGTACCAGCGTTTAATTTCGTCAAATATTAAACAATTATTTGGCCTGACGAATTCCGCTGGAAAATATTCTGGGCGGTAATGGACCGATAATGGTCTTGTTTAGCAGGTAACGCTAGGGCTGCCGAATCCCGCAAACGTTTCATAATTAATTATCTGGCGTCGAACCTGACGAAATTAAACGCTGGTACGGTATTACCTACTGCCTTCACGGGCTCAGCCTCAGCCAGGGTCAGCCTTCAGGCTGCACAGTGCACATGCAATCCGCTGACCTTTCTGCGCGCGCCTCAAATTTCAGACCGGCTGAACCGGTCTGGACTCTGCCCGTATCAAGAAGGGCACCTTGTCCGGATTTTACGGCTTTGTCATCTGGAGTCTCCTGCTGGTTTCTCAAGCGGTCCCCGCTGATAGAGATCGGTTGGAGAAACGCTCGGTGATACAGGGTTGTACGATGGGTGTACATGGCGGGTGGCGGGTACCCGTACGGGTAGGTGCTGAGATTTTTCTGCAAAAACGCATTGCATCGTCATGGCTGGCAAGGTGGACTCCTGAGAAAATTCTGACTTGACTTTGAAGAGAAGGGATTTCTCCCTGGCTACAAAACAGAGCACTCCTAATCGGTGTTCAGACGTTTCGCTTCTCGCAGACAGAATCTCTTCCAACAGCCAGCCCCCCTCTCAGCAATGCCCGCGAAATTGTTCTGGTTTTCAACTTGTGAAGCAGTAAGAGAGGCAAGCGGAGCGGAGGCTGCAAAAGCTTTTGAAGGCAGTGATAGTGCCTCCCAGTGTCGAAGATGGACCATTTAGGACCCCTCCCCGTGCGGTCTTTGAATCATATATCTCGGGTGTCCAAGTCTCTGTCCCGCTCAATAGATTTCTACACCAAGATATTAGGGTTCTATGAGGTAAAAAGGCCTGGGTCATTAGACATCCAATTTGAAGGAGCCTGGTGAGTGTTCTGAGCCTGGCTTTTCCTTTGAACGCCTGGCACCTGTCAAGAATGGCAATTCCCACTTTCTTCTCAATTGAAGCCTCTCACATGCAGATGTCTTTTTGTGAGGGTTTGTGATAGTGCAGCTTGAAGGCCATTGAGAGTTGCTACCCTCCTCGCAATGCACATTTCTAAGGACTGTGATTACTCGTGCAAGTGTTGACTCCTAGGAAGCCTCTTTGACCAGTCTGAAAGTGGTACTGACCAGTCTAGCAGGCTTTCTAAGCTTGTGATTGCCAGCAAAGCTACCTTCACCAAGACAAATTGAAGCAGAGGTGCAATTGGTCAATGTGCTCGCTGTTGACCCTATTGAAACTTGCCTGGTCAACAAGCATAGATAGGCTAGGGTCTCCTTGAGGTCAGCAGTTCCTCAGAACCGTCTGCAAGCTGGGTAGCTGAATGGGAGACGCACTTGGGCAAAGAGACAATGTGCTCATAACATACACTTCAGACTTGGGGGGCAGGGACATCATGCACACACACTTCCTTTTAGTGGCTGAGCTTGCCTTTGTGTCCTTCAATTGCACAGAGTGCTTGGAAAAAACCCATTTTGAATGTTTTGAGGATCATATCTGCTTGAGCTTCTGTCCCTTTGAAATTCAGCTGCCTCTGCTTTAAGCAACTCCAACATTCTGTCACCAGCGCCAATTGAGCTTCACAAGCCCTTTGCTAAGAGGGTGTCCCACCATTCACTCAGTCCTCTCATCTTGGCCACTGGCCTGCACCTTCCTTAGATTGTTTGCTTGCGCAGGAAACATGCATTCTCTGATGCTTGAGCTCATAAGTGTCATTGACTGGTGGCAGAGCACAAAACTTGACGTTGTTGTCACGGCAATGATGCTCCATCTGTGCATCAGTTGGTCATGTTCCACTTCTCCATTGCGTTATCAGCACCTGTTGAGCCTCAGAAAGTCTAAAGTAAGTAGCACATATTCAAGCCACACTGGTGCCAGCTAGGTTGGCTTGCAAAGACTCACAGTTGTTTTCTGCAGGCTATTCAACTATGGAGTTGGCATCCATTTGCTAAAAGACTCTACTCCAGGAAACATGTACTTGAACACGAAGAAGGAAATCAACCCCAAGGCCGACCACCTGTCTTTCCAGGTAAGCTGAGCTAGTTGCTTCCGATAGCGTTATGCACGCTCTAACTTTTGGTCTTGCGCTTTTAACAATCATTGTCATTGTTCTTTTTCTCAAACATGCAAAGGCCAACTCAGAAGAGTAGCTTCTTCTGATTCCCAATGGAAAGGAACATTGCAGAGTTCTTTGGGTGATTGATGCGTGATTGATTGGACTCGTTGAATTACACATAAGAATAGCAGATCACTCTCTGACTTCCATACCAGGACCTGAATAATATGGAACTAGATACCAGTAAGGTTCAGCGTCGATCCAGCTGCATTAGCGTGATTCTCAACCCAAGTCCCCATGTGCTTTGGAAAGTCAGCTTGTAGTCCTTTAGCAGTAGGTTGGCTGCCTAGGTCAAGAAACACTCCTTCTAAGGCACAGTGACCTGGGGTGAAATGAGCTGAGCTAAAAGTGGAGCATAGAAGGATTGGTGCAAGACGATGCGGCAGCAATCTGCAACCCATACGGCCGTCTCATGACCTTCTCCTGATGTTCTGCTGTCGAGCATCCAGGTCCCACAGTATAGCATTTGTCTGCGACAGCTGAGGAACGACGTCCTCAACTCAGTCATTAGATGCTTGTCATGCAAAAACAATCTTGCAAAGTCCATATCGCCAGTTCTAAATGTACTTGCCTGCTTTGCGTATGCAGTCCGACGACCTTGGGGAGGTCGAGCGACGCCTCAAGCTGCTCGGCATTGAGTACGTCTGTCGGTCCGTGATCGAGGACGGGATCGAGGTGCAGCAGCTTTTTTTCCACGACCCGGACGGCTTCATGATCGAGGTGTGCAACTGCGAAAACATCCCCGTGGTGCCATTGGGCCCCCGCTGCGGACGGCCCCTCTCGCGGCGCTTGTCGAACTCTCAGAAGCGGGCGATGGCGATCAACTGCGAGTTGATTGACTCGACGATGGATCGGCCGTCGCCACGGTTACTTGATGCGGCGTGTCGAGTTAGCCCCCGGCTCTCGAGCCAGAACGCTCTGCCGGGTGGTTTTAGTGAGTTAGGGTTGGCCTCGGGGGCATTGCAAGGTGTCAGAGTCTGAAGTGGGGTCACGGTCTGAGGTGGACAGGGTAGGAAAGCAGGTCCTTGTGTTTGTGTACAGAAAAGGATAGGTGTGAAGCAGAACCATCTTGGTTCCGAAGAGCAGAAGAAGTCTCCAAACGAGTTTTTGACTTTGTGTACCCTATGATAGCGCTCGTCGGGTGTCCGCCGTACTGACAGGGAACACGCTCAATAGACAGACAGCCGAGCTCATGTTTAAAAGGAGCCCCAAACCGTCACTAGCAGTCTATGCATCAGACTTCGACTGAAAGAGTCGAAAAGTATAGCTTCTCTAGCTGATCTAGTTGAGACGTATCATCGAACTCAGTTTTTGATTGTTGAATCTAGCAACTGGAAATAGTGCCCTTTGTCGTAATGATAGATTGCCGGCTCCAACGTGACTTGATATAACGAGCCTCTCGGAGCCTCTCGGAGAGACTTTGACGACAGCCATTAACGCATACCGCTTTCGTGCATCGATGCCAAGTTTTTGACTGGACTAGCAAATGCCAGCACGTACTGTGACCGATCAAGGGATATGGAATCACGCAAGCCTTTACGTTGTCGTCGACAACCTTCTGTATTCACTGTCTTATATTCGATCTTGAAATTTGAAGCGCAACGGTGCAATGTGGCAACGCGGGGTGCCCTGAGCGCTTGCAATCGGATTATAGAGCACCGGTACGGCTGATACACAGGCGTTGAGAATATCGAAACCATTTCTTCTCCGTCGATCTAGCTGGCCCGTGCTAACTAACACACATATGCAAGCAGACACGTTTTCGCACATGTGTATATATTGAGCCGTCATTGAAGATGAAGCTGAAATTTACACGAGCTAGGTCCTATATAATCTAGGACGCCTCCTGAATCTTTGATCGACGTCCAGTACGTGACTGTACCCTTGCATGCACGAGCGGCCGTCGCATAGCCGGCACATGGGGCCGGACTCGAATGCATGACAGTCACTAATTCGAAGCTTCGCGTGTCTGAGAACGCGCTGGGCATCAGTGTCCGACTTACTTCAAGCTATTGCTATCTGACGCTTTTGTGTTTGTAATGGAAGTACTCTTGATAGCGTTAGTTTGATAACGAAGACGGGAGACAAATCAAATCCCTCGATGTCAATGTACTGGCAAGCTAGCTCCGACAGAAAGCTCTCAGACCTTGGATTAGGGGGACTTGAAGGCTGCTCACCACAAAAGGCTCAATGCACTGCCTTACAAGGGTCAACAGATTGACACTACAGATAGAGTCTATACTTCGATTCAGCCTTGGAGTCCTAACGTAGCGGCACTGAGCCATGCTTCCTCGGCGCCGGAACCGCACAAAACTAGATAAGCTGAACTATACGGAAGTCAAAGCCTCACCAAGTGTTAGAAGGATTACTTGGACCCTACAGCCGCATCCATTATGGATGATCTTGCATTTATTGCTCGTCTTTAGTGACGACTGACGCCGGAGTCCACATAAAGACACGTGACAGACTAACCCCCAAATAAAATCAAGACCTGCATGGCTTTGGTTATAGTGGACATCTGCACGATCCGTTCTGGCCACCAATTCCTATCCTTTCCATCGACTCTTTACGACAAACGTTCCGAGCTCCAGGCTTTCACCGACTTTAGTCATCTACTCTGCTTAAGCCCAATGCCTTGTCCCGAAGCAAAGTAAGAAACCAGTGTCAACATAAGGGGGTCCACTGACCGCCAAACATACCTAGTCTTGCACAAGTCTCAGAAATTAAACAACGCAACAGTTGGGATGCCATTATGGGGCCCGAATGGCTTTCTGGCCCCCAGAGCTCTCCAACTATGTTCCGCTTTCCACTCATTTCCTTGTCCGAGGAGCATACGCTATCCCCCATATGACTAACAGATCATTACCCTTCCGGCCCTGTTTTCCATGCTCTCTCGTCGCCCTGCCTTTTAGCGTATGCCCGCTTAGCTACCTATATCCGTTTATATAAGTGGACCGGTACAGTAAGAAAACCTTACTGTTATCAACGCGGAATGTGCCAGTATGGAACGTTTATATAGCGTCTTTCTCGAGGTTAAATGTAATCGGACACCAATGCTTGGTTGCACAGACTTCTGCACAAGGGAGAGACGGTTGGCAACTGAAGATCCGCCAGACGCGAGCACATTTTCAACAAAGGTTTCACCAGGGGAAAAACAAATAATGATCGAGCAACCGTGCACAGGTCTCCCCACCCGGATGTGGGCTTTACTGAGGAGTGTTTTACAAGACTTTCCGCGTGTTTCTAGCATCCGATCCCGCCTTGAAAGAAAGGGCTTTCACCGCGAGGGCCTCTAAGGCTGCGAAGCTAGGTCCGCACCTGCTGTTCCGCTCAGTTTCCGGCGTGGATTCCGCCGGTCATGATGTCCACGACCTTCTCGGGCGCAGTCTCTCCCAGAACGGAAACCAGCCGGCTGGCAGTCCGCTCGGCGGCCTTCCGTCTCCTTGACTCTTCCGCCAATTGCCTGAGCGGAAAGGGAAAAGGGCGTCAGAAAGGGATACATTGTCAGCCACTGAGCTGAAAGGCTCAAGTGGTAATCTACGTCTTAACTATTCTCCAGTCGCCCGAACTGGAACACCATGAGCAGCGACAGAGAATGAGACTGCCACTCGGAGTGCCCCTGTTTTGCTCCGCCGTCGAAATATAATGGACAGCCGAATCAAAATCGATGTGAATGTGGATATAAATCTTCGAGACACTCTCTTCGTGAGACGCCTGCATCAATGGAAGCTGACAACAAACAGTGACATCAAGTTAGCCAGGCGATCCAGGAGCAGGGAGTTTAGAATGGCCGGACAGGCGGTATCCAAAATCTGGACCCCTCGCTTGGGCGTCCGCCTCTGCCTCGCCCTTTCTAGCCTTGGAACCGCTCCACAGTCTTTCCAAAATTTCTGAGACAAAAGGGTATCTGGAAGTTTTAAAGCTCATTCGCCCAATGCTCACGCTTCGCCCTTCCTTCTTCTATGAATCACTCCAAAGACGGCTAAATTCGCCACTCTAACGTCGCGACGATCCCAGACCATACTTTTAAACGCCTGAAAACCCTAAAGCCCACCTGCCCACCGCCTCCGCCTCGCCCTCCTTGGCCTCGAGTCGCTCCGCGAAGCGCGCCGCCTCGCGCGCGCGCATCTCGCTCACCAGCCGCAGCTGCCGCACCTGCGCGCGCAGCGCCGCAAGCTCCGCCGCCGCCGCCACGTCGTCCCTGCTGACGTCACTGCCCGCCTGGCTGACGTCATCCTCGACGACGCTGGCGTCATCGCCGGTCCCCCGGGGGGAGGCCGAGCTGGGCCGGGGGGCTGGGGGCGTGGAAGGGAGGGCGACGGACGTGGCGCGTCGCGGTTTCGGCGCCCAGTCGAGGTCGTACGTCGAGGGGGGTGTTCCGGTTCGGGGGGGTGCCGGCGCGGGGCTCCGCCTGTCAGACACCTCCCCCCCCTTTGCGAGCGGGGAGGGATTAGAGAATGTTCGCTGGAGGCCCCCGGAGCGGGAGCCGAGGTTTTTCGTGAGGACCGTCACCGGGCTGTCGGGCGATCTCGGGGGGGTGGAAGTGGCCCGGAACAGGGGGGGGTACGGGCTGCCGATCGGCGACTCTGACTCATCGATCTCGGAGGGGGGGTAGTGGGTCGAGGATACGCTGGAGACAGTGCCGACGCTGCTGGGCGGGTGCGAGGACGTGCCGAACGAAGCATTGGAGGCGGTTCTGCGAAGACGGACCGTCTGGGTTTCAGATTTTGACTTCGTTCCGATCAAGCTTAACGAACTTGCATCGTCAATCAACGTCGTGCAATTTAAGAACTACAGTTCTGAAAACACGATCGTTCAGAACGACAAGCCTGTCCAATCAATGTAATGGCCCCTCATTCATTTGAGCAGAATATCCCCTTCGCTTTTTTAGGTTCAGCCCTTCACTTTATTCGGGCGCACATACACACGAATTCTCTACCGTCAGGTCGGATTGTCTCTAATTACAGAGACACCTTCCTTCAAACAACGACTGCCCACAAAGTGGATTGGAAGCAGCCAGAACGGGATCATGCAATCACTCACTCTGCGTCAACGTTCATGAGCCGGTCCGGTGCGGACGTCGCGCTCTGCAGCTTCTTCGGACGTCCGCTGGCGTCCGCGTTGTAGGAGCTGCGGGAGACGAGCTTCCCGTTCTTGGCCACCAGGAACACCTGGCAACGCGCCTCGCGCGAGACGGTCGCCGTCAGGCTCTCCTTCCTGAGAAAACTGCACGAGAAAACGAGTGAAAGTCGGCAAATGCGGGTTTCGGAGTCCCCATTTGCAGGTCGGCAGGTATTCGAAGGGCCGAACTGGCACTAGGAGCTGCTCGAAGGAGGATCAGAGTTGGCTGCGATTGTTCCCCGCTTGAGTTTTGAGAGGCCAGTTCAAACCTTGCAGATCAATAGGAATTACAACGTCTTCGACGAGCAATCAGGTGTTTTTTCCAAAGGGGACGAGTGCCCAGTTGTTTCTTTGCACAGGAGGTACAAAGCAACTAGGGATGGGGAGAACGAATCGAGCGGGCGCACTGACTGGAGCCAGCTTTGCAGGGAGAGGCACAAATACTTTTGGGAAACCCGGGTCCATTGCTAGAACATCGAAGCCAAGAATGTAAAGTGCAAGGTGACCCTGTTCAGATTGCCAAAGGATTGAAACCTTCGCCTGATAGGCTTTCAAATAGAAGACCCCCGGATTTTGAGGTCTCTCTTTTCCCTCTTGTGTGTTCGCCAGAGAAGAGTAGACTTCTTTTACTTTGTCAGATGCTTTCCAACTAACAAATCAACCGGCAACGCACCCCTCCAAAGCAGTCCCTAACCGTCTAACTCAGACCTCTATTTTTCGCTGACTGAAACACTCAGTTGACCTGAACCCAAGAGCTAACCCGTTCAGATGCAGCCACTAGTCTAAGACGGCAACAAATGACTTGGTGCAGACGCTCACCTGAGGCGACGACTGCCCTTCCCAGTGCCCATGACAAGGTGAGTGACACCCAGTTGAACCACACGGTCTAGGATCGCCTGGCGGCGCTGGCCCCATATTACCTCCGTTTTGGCCTCAATCTGAGAGGCGTAAGTTTGGGAAGTGGTTAGCTCCGCTAGCAAGTTTCGCAGAGGGCCAACTCGATTTTCGCGTTTGCTTGGGACTCCAGATTTGGGTTCACTCTGCGGGGCGCAAATATGCTTGAAAGTGACTGGATTATGAGGCGGGCACTCGGGGATCGCTTACTCTGGTTCTATATGTGCTTGGCGATTGCAGGTTCAATCTGCAGGGCGCACTTTTGGCCAGGTGATTAGACTCATAGATTTGGAGTCGCTCATTCTGGTTCTATGTGCGCTTGGAACTCCCAAGCTTGGGCTCAAGTTGCGGAGGGCCAAGTATGGAGAGATGATTAGATTTCGGGGCAGACTCAGGGGAATGGCCTGCTCTAGTGTCTTGTTTGCTTTGGATTCTAGCTTTGGGACAGCAATGTGAGCTGATCTGGAGCCTGCATACATTGAATCCAAGTTCTACAGAAGGACCCTGCAAAAGCCCCCAGTGTTATCCCCCCAGTGTAATCCCCTCGCTGATCCCAGCTTAATGTTGAAGCTTTTCAGCGACACAGGCTGAAACTTGAACAGCGGCAATAGAATCATCCAACAAGAGTGCGTGCCAAGATTGTGATGAGGCGTGTGAGCAACAATCTCCACTCTGAAATGCACTGCCACCATGATCGTGTTAGTTCTGTGCCTATGGTCCAGGATTTGGCACTTCTCTGGTACTGGTCAGCCCAAGTAAAGCTTGTTTGGATACCTTGGCAGCACTACTGTTCAAGAGAGATGGGGGAGAGGACAGGGAGGGGGAAAGGGTGGGAAGGGGAGGGAGAAGAGGGAGGTAAAATGGTCCTGATTTTGGCAAGTATGTTAACTATTTTGCTCGAGGTTAGCGTTACCCCGGTGCGACGCCAGCTCACCTGACAGATATCCTCGTCAATCATTGAAAAGCTAGTGCAGTGATTCTCAGGTTGACTGTTCTGCCATATGCAAGGCGCTGGAGATTATCATACAAAATTCTCCTTCTGCAGTACCGTCACTCAGTAGCGTTTTGATTGGACACAAAAAGCTAGCTGCCCAATCGACAGATGCACACCCTGACTGCCCATCAGCCTATTCCAACTTTCAAGAGTAGGTTTGTCAGCTTTCTTTCCTCCCCATGGTGCTGAATTTCGTCCAGTCCCCGTTCCTCTGTTTCTGCCCTCCTGCTCTCTTCGTCCCTTTCCCCTTGTCCATCTTTTTACCTGCACCTGAAGCTCCCCGATCCTGTCCTTCAAAAGCGCATTGAAAAGCTGATACGATGGGCTGACAGACTTGCACTCGCTTCTGGCTTCATTGAAATGATTGAGAGGGCAACTTGACCAAAAATTTGAAAGGCAATGAGGAAGTGGGGGTTAAATTCAAAAGATCTGAGAGAAGAAAGCAAGGCTTTGGTTCCCACCTTTTGGGTCTGGCAGTAAGCGGCGTGCGTTGCAGCCATCTTCTTAGCATTCTCCTCCGTCACTAGCATGTGGGCTCTTTGCATTTCGGGATTGGCCCCAGAAAACGGGACCATGCCCACTGCACGGTAAGGGGGAACGGTTTCAGGGAAGCGACTTTCTTCAAACAGAAGGTAGGATCTGACGAAGAAGAGTTGTTTGGAATGTTTGATGCTCCTTTGTATGTGCAACGTGGTCAACAAAATAGCTGGAAAAGGTGTTTCTTTTAGGACAGACCTTGGTCATTGACAGCGTCAATCTTTCATGATACAACCCCCATGCCTTTTCTCTTGTTGCCACCTGTACTCATCGTGCAGAGAAGTGTGAGGCATCCCAAAAACAACATTCTGTTGTGGAAAAGCTGCAGTGCTCTCCCCCTCAACAATGTGGGAAACAGCTAGCACCGATAAAACCAAAGCTGGAAACGGAAAGCGTAGCACAGGTATGCGATTCGGAACAGTTGTTAGCTCTTAGTACAATCAGTGAGTTGACCCACCAGACCGTAAGCTATCCCATAAATCAATCACCACAACACAGTCACCTCTTGCAAACCAGAGGAGTGGCGCTTCATAAATCGCCTGTTGCCTACGTTCTGCCGACATGAATGATGCAAACCACAGTGCCCGGACCTTTGAAATGAACACCACCCAAAAAAAGCCACCCATATGTGGAGTTCAGCGAGTGGGATCTATTCAACCGCAGATTCACCAGTGACGGATACTCCTTTGTTGGCAAATGGTAGGCTCGGATGAGTAAAGATGAGAATGTGACGCCAGAATTATAAAAGCACAAGCTGCAAAGCGCATCCTGAAGAATGCCCACTTGAATGTATCATGGCGATCCAGTCCAAACCGACCCGCCAGCTGTGAACATTGCTTAGACGTCAGAAAAAGCGTCAGAAAAAGCGTCAGAAGCGTGTTCCCCTGCTTGTGATCCTTGCCGTGGAAAGGTGGGGCAGTGATCACAAGTGTGCACAAGAGCTTTTTTTACCACCCCTTACAAAGGGCTGGTTTCACCATAGCCAACAACGCCTCTCACATTGTGAGAAAATTTGACCAAAGATGCCATCACTGTCTGAATGATTCTCAGGTGGCAACTTCTCGGATCCGATTGGAAATCAGCCAAGTCTCTCAGCTGGGGTGTATGACGCGTCACTGTCGACGCACGCAGCAAAGGATCACATTGCGTGTGTGACAAATGAGTGGCCATTTTGGAAGCGATTGTGCACAATGTCTGAGCTTAATCTCGATCCAAGGGGAAAGTAAGTGCGCTGGACTCCAAAGCTGCTTGATCCGGCCGAGCGAGCCTCTAGTGGCAAAAAGAGCAAAGTCAAAAGCACAGAAACGAGGAACTATTCTGAGCTGCCCGCCGTCACAAACGCATCGACGTCAGTAAAGTATCGGAAGCTTGCAAAGTACCTTGTCATCTGGCAATCATGGTTCGAGTCGGGGGTGCACGTCTGATGAACAATTGTTCTCTGATACCAGAGTGCGAATCGGGGTGATTGCACCCTACTTCCGCTGTTGGACCTTAATGCATCATTCCCCTCGCAACACCACCCAACCTCATCCCTGAAAAGGATCAGGGAGATCATACAAGGTTAACCACACCAAGGAGGAGATGTGATCTGATCAGAAGGGCAGAAGCACACCACCACTCACTTGCTGTGGGGATCTCTTTCAGCGTCTTGATTGCATGGAAGATCACGACCTCGTCCCCCGCATTGATGAGACTGCGGGCGGCCCACATAACCGCCCCTCTGCTCTCCAGCGATGAATCAACTGCCAACATCACCAGCTTACTCTCGATCCCAAATAAGTCATCGCTACCCGCTTCCGACATCTTTGCTGATCAACTTTTCACGGACTCTCTGCTCACCAGCCCTGAATGATGCAGAGGTGGTGCCCGCGCCTTACGAGCTCCCGTTGTCGGCTTGTGCTACTCCCGTGAGCTGGCGTCGTCCATTTCAGCTGGATTGGAATGCAGGGAAGCTCGATCTGAGAAGCCCTCTCAGCCCCGATCCAGAGGCCCAACGGTCAAGGAGCTGCCTAGATAGGAACGGTTGACGCATCATCATTGCATCGCATGTAGGGTATTCTCTGTCAAGTCTCATTGAACTTGAAGAGAGCGCATGGAACTTGGAAGTGGAGGTTGCACTGTCTTGCACAACCTTCAAGAG